TTGCACCCAGTTTTGATATTAACTGCTGCTCTCTGTTGGGAAAACAAAGCATGTAAAACTAACAAAGACAACTGAAAGCTGTGATTATATCAGTCCTGAGAATTCTACTACTTGTGTGGAATAAAGTCTAAGTAAATATCAATTTTCATATAGTAAAACACTATTTAACAACTCATTATTACGTAAAGAAGTTATGAACTTTTCTCATCCCCTAAGACAAAGAGAGTACCCAGTGGCAAAACATTAGCTTGTACAATTACGAATCTTAAAATAGACTTTTACAATCTACTGGAAAGAAAATAAATACATAGACAGCTAAACGGTGCAATGGTCTGCATTTAAACCTCTGTTCAGCCATCATCACCTATTCAGCAAAGGAAAGCCTATGCTGACATCCACTGACTTTGAAGTGGTTTGCTACATCAGGAGTTGAGGAGTTAAGAGCACCACTCACGTTCAGTGGAAGTAGAATTTAACTGTCAACCAGGAAATTAGATTATCTTTTCTGAGAGACGCGTCAGCAGAAGCACACGTAAGCATCTGTCAGCTCATACATCTTTATTGCTGTTTGGTTTTGCAGACAAGAACATGCCCCTATTTCCTCTAGCGTGAACATTGCCAGAGGCTCAGAAATCCAAGCTGCTGCCATGCTTGCTACCCAGCACAACCATCTGCTGGACTGTATCCCTCATTTGTATTTCCTTCTAGAAAGGAACTGGCAAAATGTCTTTTCTACTATTTTTGGTGAGGCTCATATAGGTTTTTTGCTTGGCTGGTTGTTTTGGTTTTGGTTTTTGTGCTCTGTTTTTATAAAGCATTACTCCTGGCTGCAGACCTCCTTTTACTTCTGATGACGAATAAAGGATGGACACCTGGTCCTTCTTTAACACTCTACATTAGCAGGGTGTTCTGCAGCCAGCAGCACAAGCTCTTGCTGCTTCTGCTCTGTGTATTCTTACTTGATGGCTTCTGGCAACTGTAGCTGCCGGTGATCAGCACTGGGGTAGCAGAGAGCAGCTGTGCCAAGCATGGCAGCCAGCAGGTTTCAGTGATGTTACAGGAATGGATTATGCAGGACCTTTATTTTAATGGGAGATATTTTCTACTTTAAAATATCGGGGGGTTCTATGGCTGTGTGGCTTGTACTTTTTGCAAGTTGCTTGTAACTGAAGATAGATACTCAAGCAAGGCTAAATTCTCAAGGAACTTAAGAAGGGCCAGGCCAACCGCAGTTTAAAAAATACAAGTATTTCACATAATGGCGATAGTTGTTATGGTAATTCAGGATGGCTAATCACATATACAAACAAATACTCTCTGATGAGTCTGACTTCTTCTGTTGTAAAGAGACAAATCTTCATTATTCGGTGTGTGTGTGTGCCTGTCAGAAGGCCTGGATGCCTTCCTGTGCTGGTAAGAAAGGGCAGACACCTGATTCATGAAATCACTGTAGGTGGAGAAATGCTCGCTGACTGGGTTTGTTTTTGCTAAATGGTTGTTGCAGCAGAAACAACAAACATCAGCCTACACAGCTGCTCTGCTCTGGCTGTAACTGCCCCACCTATGTCTGATGTTAGTGTGTGCTTTCACTACTTACAAACCTCAGCCAGGAGTGAGCCTGGGCAGGAGCTGGCATCTGCCAGTGAAGCACTTAAAAGCAGTAGACTGTGTAACACGTATCAGCATTCGCAATGGTCTGAGTGTGACTCCGAGACCCTGGTTCTGCCAATGTCATTGTAAGGGAGAAGGGCATGTTTATTGACTGGGATGGGGGGAAGGAAAGATACCGTGAGGATCCTGGAGCAAAAATCAGTATGTGTCTAAGTGTTTGAAATGCAGGGCCTAAGAAAGACCATACTGGAAGCCAAAGAGTTCCTTTCATTGGTATTACCAGCACAGGCAGGGAGAGAGGGAAGAGACGAAATGAAATAGAACATTTTAACAAGTGCCCTCACTCGGTTGCTTGTGCTGGGCAGGCAATATTCCATAAGGGACATATACATGTACAGAGATATTAAAACCTGCCCAAGGTAACTATTAGCAGCTATTCCATTTTGGACAATATAGACAGTGTAAGGGTTATCCGTGCTGGTGAGGTGGTCATGATAAAGAAATACAGCTGCAGCTGGAAATCTATATTTATATAAGTAACTAAGCTTTGAAATACTTGCTGAAAATGAAAAAGCACTGCATGGTTAGGAAACCAGAAGGCAAACATTTAAAGACGTGCTACTGCTTGTTTTTTTTCCCCCACCAGTTTTAAGATGACCCTGCTGTGCAATTTCTTAACGTTTGCGGTTAGGCACCAGAATACCTTGCCGTATTTCAGGTAGGCAACTGACAAGCGCTGTAGCGAAGCGCCTGTACGCAGAGCCGGACCCGGGACCGGGTCCCGCCTGGGGCTCTCCCTAGCGATGCCGGGTAACGTGGAGAGGGTCGGGCCGCCTCCGGGAAATGGGAGAGGCTGCCGGGGTGACAGGTGGTCTGAGAGGACAGCCGCTTTTCTCTTCCCTCAGTGGCGAGGCCCCGCCAGGGGCTACAGTTCCCGTCGCAGGCTTCACCGAAGCGGGGCCGGCACGGACGAGACCTCAGCGGGGAAACCACCGCCGCCACGGCCCGGCCCGACCCTGCGAGGGTACCCGGCTGCCCCGAGTCGAGTCCCGCATAGTACAGCCACGGCCCAGCCTTGCACCGCAGGGCGCCCTCCTCCCCTTAGGCGTCGCGGCTGGGAGGGGCCCGGGCGGACCGGTCCCGCCGCGCAGCTCCCGCGGCCGAGCGCGGCTGCGGATCGCCGCCCGGCCGCTCGGCTTGGCGCGGCACAGGCCGGGCAGGAAGGAGAAAGCTTCCGGTGGCAGCAGGGCAGAGAGAGCAGCGGCACCGGGTAAGCTCGGCTTGGGGGGGGGGGGTTGCCGTGCACCTGCCGTGCCCGCCGCGGAGGCGGAGCGGGGGCGTCGCCGGCGCTTCCCGCCTGTGCGGCGGAATCGGCCCCTTCTGCCGCGGGGCTGCTCGGAAGAAGCGGCCGGGCGGGGGCGGCAGCGTGGGGTGCTCCGAGTGTCCGCCGGTAGCAGTGGAGAAGGCGCTGCGGTGCTCAGACATTCGGCTTCCCGGACGCCGCTGCACCCGCTTCTCCGTTCGCTTTCCTTCACCTTTTGTCTTGCTTTCCCCCTCTTATTTCCCTACGGGCTCCACCAGCGGGTGGGGTCAGACGCCCTGCAGGGGGAAGGTTGTTTTGCGGGCGCCCCTGGGGAACCAGGGGCTAACATTGGTAGCGGCGGGAGCAGCCGCTGGTTTATGCCCCGAAGGGCGCCTACGGAGCAGTTGTGACCCAAGGGCAGTGTCCAGCCCTCGGTTGGCGCTGAGCTGCTTGAATCCTCCCGTGGGCTGCGAGCAGCGGCTCCTAGGGTCACTGCGCCTCGTACTGCTGGGGAAGGCCGCCGAAAGAGAGGTGTGTGCGTGCCGCCTTCCCTTGGGCTGGCCCCGCGGTGAGGCTGTGCTTACGTCCTTGGCCTGTGCCCCACTTTTGGAGAGGCTGGGTGACTGCCCTGGGTTCCACAGGGTCATCTTGTCTTGCGGTAGCTGCCGCTGCGGTTATTAATACCGGGTGCTGGGACACAGGTGTGGATTCACTGTGTATTCACAGGGTTCCTGTCCCCTGATAAACCAGGATTAACCGTTTTCCACTTTGTGTATTAAATGGAAAGAATAGAGCCATTTAAGGTCCGAAGGTGACGGATTTGGCAGTTTATGGCTCAGGTGCAGAGCTGCTGGGAATTAATTACAATATGCATTTGCTCTGCACGTGTTTAAAGGCCTTTTGAGTCCTTAAGGGCACCCTGACGAGGACGTGCATTACCCACTGTCCCTTCGTACACAGAATTAATGTCTGGCTTCCAGGGGAATTGTGCGGGGGGAAGGGGATAGGAGCAGGCAGGAGCTTTGCTCTGGCACCCCAGCGTGCAGCACAGCTGAGCCAAGGTTTGCAGTGGTAAAGGCCAGTCAGGAATGGCGGTGTTTTCCCGAAACAGGAAGGGAGCTATGTTTCAGCCAGTGCAGCAGGAAGCCTGAAGGAGCAATACAAAGTTTTAAGGTAAATATGGATTCAAAGTAAGTACCAGAGTATTGCTTTATACAGTATGAGGAGAAAGCGTAGTATTTGTTTTAATTGTCGGGGAAAATAGTTGCTGAAAAGGAAAGAACATAAAACCGGTTTGAGTGATGGAATTGGAGTTTGTCCTTGGACTTCATTAGTAAAATGGAAGCGTAAAGGGTGTAGTGGTGAACTACCAGTTATGTGTTGTAGCCTGTTAATGTCATTCTAAAGAATAGCTTGGTTTAAAAATCTGGTTTAATCTACAGGAGGATGTGATCTTTATAGCCTGTTGTCAGGAATTTTATTGCCACTAGTTTCTTTGCTTTTGTGGAGGAAGTTCTGTTTGTTAACAGCACGTGAATGTCAGAGGAGCTTATGGATGTATGGAGACAAAGAGATTGTTGATGAGTAAATGAAAACTCATCTCTGCCTGCAGCAGGTAAAATGAAATCGGGCCCAGTCAGATGGTTAGAGTGCAGTTCTCTAAACACTGATGAAGTCCAGTCACCTTTGCTAGGGCCGTGTGATTCTGGTCTTACAGCAGGGATACACTGTTAGGAGGTAATAGTGAGTGTGATCTGTCTGGCAGGTCCACAGATGAGCAACCTTGTGTGACTATAGCACTGAAATTTTTTGTACCAGGCGTGAAGTCTTTTTCTGCTTACGCTAAAGCAGTAAACCTGTTAAACAGTTACTTTTCTATGTTTACAATTGCCTTGTCCCTTTGTATTTTAAGAGAACCATTTAAAGAAGTTTATGACCTCAGAGTTTTGTTCTTTGTTAGCCTCTCATTTTTTTCCTAGTAGATATTTCTGCCAGCCCGTGATCAGTTAAATAGTATAGTGTTTGGGATGTCTGTTACATAGGAGAAGTGGGGTTTGGGATCACCCTGAAATAGGCCTCTTATTGCTGGAAGAAAGATTCACTCTTACTGTAAGCTGCTTGTGCCCACCTCTTCTTGCTTTTCTTCTCCCACTGGAGCTATCAACAGCTCATTTCAACCAAACATGAAATTAGTGACAACCAGTTGTTTCGAAATCGGAGTTCAGCTGACATAACTAATGGGCCGTGGCTGTAAGGGGAGTCCCACCTTTAGTAGCTGCCTTTATGCTCTTACTGCTTCAGATTCATCCTACGTAACGGTTTTGTGGCCACAGGTTGAGTTAATATTCTCTGTTGGACCAGCTGTTTTTCAGAGCAGGTTTTCTGATGGATCAGCCACCTGAACCATTGTTCTGTGACTACAAGGTCTGATGTAGAGGGAGGCAGGGACCCGCAGCTTTGGGTGGGAGACTGGAGGAGGGTGTAGGATTGCACTTTCCCTAATCTCTGCAACTTCAGAGAGGAGGTAAGAAACTCCTTTTGGAATGATTATGGGGTTTGCTGATTAATTGTACAGCCAGTTGTGTGATGCAGGGCCAGGGGGAGGTGGTGGAACATGCCAAACGAGATTAACACGTTAGTTCACTTTTAGGGGAGGGAGGTGACAAGTTGAACCAGGACACTGGAAAAAACAAAGGTGTGGAAAAACTACAGGTATGGCAAAAATGTTTCATCAGAAAGGAGAAGGCTCTTGATGGGGTACTCTGTTATGTGAAGAGGTGGTAGTTTTCTACTGTTGCTGGGGGAAACAAGTCTTTGTGGATAGTGAGGCTGTCTGCTGTCTTTGACACAGCAGATAATGTTTGATATTGCAGTTCAGCTGGCTGAGGAGTAGTTTTGATTTCTGTAGTAAAATGGGGCAATAAAGATGAGAGGAGAGAGGCTTACACCGTTGCCTGCCCTGTGGCAGCCTCTAAAATTTCCAGTTTAAGACAAACCTTTGGTCTTGGCAGGTGTGTTTTCTTCTGCTTTAGTTTACCTCCCATTTATTGCCTGGAGAGCTAGTCCTGTATGCCAACAGCTGCCAATCAGGAGCATGACTGGCTGTTGCTGGTGTTAAGCCCACTAGCTGGGCTACCAGGAGTGTATGGGTTCTGTTGTAGCCCCCAGTGTGTTACTTGTCATCCTGCTGGGGTGGTTCTGCTGTTAGCACACAGTGAGGCCTTGTTTGCATGCATGAGTTGTGGTCACACCTTTTGCCCACAGTGCCTTTTATCATTTTACTCAACAGCTGGCTCGCACTTGCTGTGAAATAATAGTGCAGCTAATTCCTGTTGCAGTACCTGTATTACCCCTCTGTTAAGGGGCTTTGGCCCAACTTTGAACAGGAGGAAAGCTCTGAAATTTTAAACCAAACTAAATTGGTGCTGCCATGGTCTCTCTCTTCCCTGCATGTCACTTACACACCTCTCTCTGGTTCTGGGCAAGCTGGTGCAGAGAGATCAAGTACTGAAAAAAAAACCACTTTTTGTTTGTTGGTTGGTTTTCTTTTGTTTCTTTTCTGAGTTTTCTGAGGATGTGGTGCTTTGTGCAGCACTGATAACTGAGGCAGGGAAATTGGGCTGGAAGAGGGAGTGCGGGTTGAGTCTTGCTGGCAGCTTTGTTCAGCAGCACCCACTCTCAGGCTGGAGGAGTCTATTCTGGGCTGAAAACACTACAGTCATTTTTGAACAAATTTCAGCCTCCTGAATGTTTCTGATGTAGTAAAATAGATCTTTGTAAGGTGGGGAATTGCCTATGTGTAGTCTTTCTGGGACAAAAATTCTGCATTTGGATGTCAGCTGTCTTTGGATTGTGTTCTATCTTTCCCTTGTGTCCTCACTGCTTTATGCTATGCTGACTTCTAAAAATAGATTATACATGATAAAATTTAGAAAAGGCTGCTATTTATATTTGCTTAAAATTCTTCACTAAATTTTTGATGTCTAGGTTAGTTATGGTAATTACCTGTTTCTGAAATGGGAAGCTGCTGATCCAAATACTATGATTGGAAAATACTACAGTATAAGAATATTTACTTATCAGCATCTTTTATTTGAAGATCAGCAATTAACAATGGCAGAGTAAAGAATTTGCCACGTCGTGACTGAAGGTGTAAGGAAAAAAGCCTACAGGGAGATCAACTCAGCAGCGTATCTTCCACGTTTTTTAACAGCCTATCATCACACGGCTTTGGGAGGAGCTTTGTAATGCATTCTGAAGAACAAATAACGTTGTCAGAAGTGCATAATTGTGTTGCCTAAAATTTGATACAAGCTGTTGAGTAGATGGCTCAGCTTCCTCCTGGGATTCGCTTCATCACTTCATTTTCACGAGATCAGTGGTAAGTCTTGAAGTATGGTGGCAACCTTTGTTTTGAACAGCGTAAGTTTGTACCAGAAACAGAGCAAGGCAAATACTGTTGCCTTGCTCTATATTTGCTTTCTCCTTGCTTAATATATACAGCAAGAAAATATAGATAATTGTACAATAAATAAATCTGGCTGACATTTAAAAAGTGAGATACTTTGTGAGGGAACCCAGAGAAACCTTTACTAGTCAAGGGCGCTAGAGAATAAAGCCTTTTGTCCTTTTCTTTGCAAGGTATGGATTTGAAGGGGTAAATTTCAGATATTTATGTTCAGACTCCTAGGTGGGAGGGGTGCTTGAGGTTAGCTTTTTTCTCTGAACCAGAAGTGTATTTTCTCCCCCCAGATTTGATGTGTAATATACCCTTGTAGAATTACAGTTTTAGTTCTTGCTACTGTAATATTTAAAACCAAAACAAAACAGCCCTCAGAAATCCCAAACCAAACCCTCTTTGCTTTAGGAAAACTAATCCTGGAAGTTGGATGGCATTAGTTCTTGTGCTTTCAGAGACAGAAAACTGAGTCAGTTGTGTGTGAATAACAAAAATAACAAATGAAAGCCCAAGCACTTTCCATTTGAGCAATTTTACCATACTTTCTCTAGTACAGCAACAAAGTAATTTCAGTTTTACCACTTTCAGGATGTTTTCAGTTATGGGGGTGAATACCTTCACTGCAGGATAACTCTTTTTTTATTTTATTTTTATATTATTTTTTAACATCTCTCTGAATATGCCAGAACTATAAAATAAGACTCTTGTTATCTTAAAGTGCATAAGCAGAAAATTATTTAAAGAGGTTCATTAAAAATTAGGGACTGTAGTAGGCTGTGTGATATCAGATCTTTGTATGTATGTATGTCCTTTCATTTACAAATGTTAGGTTTAAGATCAAGGCAAGCAGAAGCCAGTCGATACACTGTGATCTGTCTGTTGTTAAAAGCACAAATCCACAAAGCACTTTCCTTCTTAAACAACTGAAATGTGCTGTAGGTGGAGAATAGAATAGATCAGGTTGTTATCTTTCTTTAATGGTTGCAGTGACAGGGATTTTGAGGTAACCTTAATTCAAATGAGCTGCAGAGAAAGACCCAAGAATGCCAGGGAGGTACCAGGGAAAATTCACAATCCCACAGCTGGTTAATTATGTTTGTGTGCTCCAGCTGGCAGTACACACAGGCAGTGTCAGTCCCCTGTCATGGCCAATTTCTTTTGTTATAGAGGAAGGCAAAAGTAAAGCAAAATCCTAAAAGCAGCAAGGAATGAAAGAAGGAATAACCCACAGTAGCCAAACTGACAGTTCACAGAGCCATAATTTATGTCCTAATCATACCAGAAAACTGGATGAGACAGTGAAATGTGAAATATGATTATAAATATGTTTAATGTTGAGCTGTCTTTTAATAGCTGCCAAAGGATGGCTGTAAACAAGGTGGATTGGCTCTGTGGGTTCCAGAGCACCGTGATGTTGTCCTGTGCCTGTGTGCTACGCAGCTCCCACCCAAAGCCAGGTCACAGCAGATGTTGTAAAGTAGTGTAACTTCTGGAGTGGTTCTTCGGGCTGTTAGGGAACATGGAAAAAAATTGTCTTCCACTATTAGAAGATGACCAGTGACTTTTGTAATGGTTGTGTGACTTAGTGCTAAAAGTAAATCTGAATAAAATAAGTTTCAAATACTTTCTTTTCCTTTTTTTTTTTTTTAAATATTGTAGGTACAGAGCCTTCATTTTCTCTCTCACTTTCTTGTTGTATGCCAGCTTCCATTTATCAAGGAAACCTATCAGTATAGTTAAGGTAAGCAAGGTTGCATCCTTGTTTAAACATCCTTCTACTCGTATCAAACACGGAAGTAGTCACCTTTTTCAGTATTTCCTTTTGTGAAAGGCAGTGTTGAACTTTAACTTGGAATGGTTTAAAAGCTGAAAACCTGATAAAGCTAGTACGCAGTGACATTTACTTGATAACATGTAGTGAGACCACATAGAATATTGTGTATGTGTCTAATCTTTGGGTTTAAGACTTGAAAGACCTATGCCTGCGCTTAATTCGTGTGCGTTAATCTAATTATAGACACTTAGGAGTTCACAGGTTTGCATTCATATGTTTGGAAAAAGTCAGTCATAACTGATGAGTTGAACATGATAAAATTCTGCTAACATTTACGAGACTGTTACAAGTGCTGTTGAGCATCACAGACATATTTGCCTGGGCACCTGGGATTCTCTTCCCAGTGAAGCTGGTGGCAAAATATTACCTGATTCTAGGTTTCTTAGTTTGACCTTCAACTTGTGTAACTTGCTAAACACAAATCATATCCCCCAGGGCAGTGTTGAATATAACTGATGAGTAATAATGGGTAACAATAACAGCTTGATGTTAATGCAGAATTTCAGAATTCTTCATTGTCAGAAGCACCAGTTCACTGCCTCCTATTGTTTCTAACCATGTAATTACTCTTTCATGTAATGGTGTCTTCACCCAGCAAAATACCAAACAGTAATAATGTCTAAAAATTTCACTGATTTCAGAGGGTTTGACACAAGTTCGTACAAAGCTAGAGGTGTTAAATTTGTTGCTGTATGGGGATTAACAGTCATAAGTGAGTTTTCCATTTTCACATTCCTGTCCTTCATCAGGGAGAGCTGCATAAGCATTGCGCTGCTTCACATGAAGTTGAACTCAACTCATACAAAGAATATGCTTCCCAGATTCAGTCTGCGAAAAAGCCATCTAATGTATCTCAGTGCGGTTGGGAGCCATTTGGTAAGGGTTATTTATTTTTGGTTTTGTTTTTTTCCTTCATAATAATGAGCTGTTGTTCATAATTAGATTATTTGCCTCTTGCTATTTCTTCTTCATGTGTGGAAGGATTCAGGAGATGTGTATGGGAGGCGTGTATTGTTCTCCATGTTCTCACTGATATTTATGAAGAAAGTTAAGTGGTGATTTATAATGTCTTTACTACTTAATGTCACCTAAATAACATTATTTTACCTGTTATAAGATGATTTCAGTAGATCAGTTCTCAGTCAGAAAATGGAATTTACTGTGAAGGCGGTGAGGCACTGGCACAGATTACCCAAAGAAGCTGTGGATGCCCCACATCTGGAAGTGTTCAAGGCCAGGCTGGATGGGGCTTGGAGCAACCTGGTCTAGTGGAAGGTGTCTCTGCCCATGACAGGGGGGTGGGAATTAGATGATCTCTAAGGTCCCTTCCAACCCAAACCATTCTATGATTCTATTATTTATCTTCAGAATGGCTATTAAGGAAAAAAAAAGTGAAGAATAAAATTAATCAGTATTTCCTGCTGTTTTAAGTCAAGGTCCAGCAATCATTTCAATAAAATTACTAGGTGTTTATCTAATTTGGAACTTTTCAGAGTCCTTATTTGCCAGAAGGAATATTTGTCTCCCCATTTTAATGGAGAAAAATGGTAGACTTGCAGAATAGAACTGACAACTTACTGAATAGCTTATGAACCTGGCCTTTCACTTAGATAGAAAAAATATTTGCCTACTTACAGTTGAATTTGAGTTTAATTGTATTTGAATTAAATTAAATTTGAATCATTCCTTGACACTTTTATCACTGCCAAGAACATCAGTGAAGTAGAATAGTCCATTCTGCTGATATGCCAGCCCACTCCATTCTATCTAGCCATCTATTCTAATTGTTCTTTAATTAGCCATTAAAAAAGCCCTACTCTGTTCAATGGTAATTGAAGATCTGACTTCTGCATTTTCTGTGGGCAAAATTCTGTGTATTAACTGCCTGGTTTGAGGTAATCCATCTACTGAAATTATTTGGTCTCACAGGTTTCCAAATGCATTTGGATGCAGTTAAACTTGTTTGCTGTTTCTTGTCCCTGGATCAAAGGGAGTCTGTATTTGCTTGTCTAAAACACTGATTAGTTATCTTAATGGAGACTTCTGAGCTCCAGTGTCATCCTTTTCCCGTAAACACAGATTATTGCAAAGCTACTCCTTTGGGATCACACTCTAGACTTGTTCTTTCAGCTCTGTTTTTCAGGCAACATAGCTGGCAAGCTGGGAGTAACACTGAAAGAAGGAATGGTTTAATAACTGTGATTTTATTCTCAAAGTCAATGGGAATTACAGGTCCTTGCAAATAGACAAACTGTCTTTCTTAATATGAGCTCAGGTCTCTTGAGGCTATCCTTGGTGTTTCTGTCTGGGTGGAGTCCCTCCTGCTCCCTCAGTCCTTCCTGAAAGTCCTATTTAGTTGTAATTATGGTCATTTGCTGTACAGAGCAGAACCCTTTCTGGCTTTTTATTAAACAAGATGTCTGTTTCTGAGCAGTTGGAAAATGAAACGCAGAAGTCTTTAACCATTTCAAAAATATATTAAACTGATTCCTTAAAAGTATGTATGATGATGCATTTTTTTAGCCATTTTGACTGTTGGGACCTCACACAGTTGCAACACATCTTTCCACTTTTAATAAGTCCTTTACAGTTTGGGGTTTCATTTGTATAAGGACCTATAAGAAGGCGGCACCTTGCTAGTAACTTACACTCTTCTCTTCCAAAGTGCCGTTTTGAATAAGACGGAATTAAGAATGGGCCTAGCAGTGTTTTCCTAGTATGTTACAGACAAAAGGGTCAGTGGTAAAAAGGATTTGAGGGTTTTGTTTATTAAATAAAATATATTTTGAAGTGCATGCTTACATCTAAAAGTGCCTTATGAAAATTAAATGTCAGTGCATGTTCACTAATGTATAAAAATGATTGGGAAGTTATTGGTGCATTTAAACTGATAATTTGGCTTGAAAATTATTCTTAGATAAGAACAACTACAAACAGTTACTGGGAGCACTGGATTACTCATTTCTGTGTGCATATGCGGTTGGGATGTATTTAAGGTAAGCATCACTCTCTTGGACACTTGCTTTATTGCTTATTGTTCGTTAATGAGGCTGTGCTACTACTGAGATATTGTCCTTTCCTACTGCAAAGTTTCTGATGAAAAGAGTGAGAATTTGGTTGCCAAGGGGAAAAAATCATGTCATCCTGTGTCACCAGCAGTATCATACCTGTTGGCATATAGAAAGCTGCTTACCTGCACCCACCCTGCATGCCTAGTGCAGGAATGTTTTAGAACTTGCCATCTAGCCTGTCTTTCCTTCCTGTGGAATATGAAGGAGTATACGTCCTCAAACTTTATCAGTTTCCAACCTGCACAAGTGGATGAAACTGATTGTCCTGGTTTTCTTTATAGTCGGTGCACAGAAGCTTAAGTCATTTTAAAATGTGCAGTATTGGCTGCTGTTTGGATATGCTGCTTTTTATTGACTCTACCCAGAACCTTCAAAACTAGAATCATTAGTGAGGGAGACAAGTCTCACTTTAAATGGCTGAAGATGTGCCTCACCTTAGGGGTCATTTGGAATATGACTCTATAAATGACTTTCAGTGTGCTCCAGCTGAGCATCTCCCTGAAAGATGGTTGTGCAGATGTCAGTACTAGTAAAGATGAAATGTTTGTTGTTTGTTTTTTTTTTTCCTGTCAAGTGCTAAAAATTGCTCATTTGCTGCTGTGAAGAGGAGCAGCAGTTACCAGTAAAGTTTCTCCTCAACCGGAATTAAGCAACATAAAATATTCTTGATTTGTGAAGGCCTGGGATATGATCTGATTTTTAATTACTGCCCTTCTTTTTATTTCCTTCCAAATTCCAAGTGGACTAATAGGAGAACGGCTACCTATCCGGTACTATCTGACAGTCGGGATGCTTGCTAGTGGACTCTTCACTGCAATGTTTGGATTGGGTTATTTCTGTAATATACATAACCTGTGGTTCTACATAATGGCCCAGGTAGGCAGAATATTATTTCAATACTCCTGGGTTTCCATGGTGCTGTTTAGTGTTGCATTGGTTTTCCTTCTTTCAGTTGTAAACAGGGATTAGTGGCTGAATGGAAGGTTATAAATGCTGGAATACACTGTTGTTGATGACAGGCAAAAATGATAGGGTGGATAGCCCCAGGTTTTATTTTCAAAAAATGCTTTTTTTGGTGGAAGAAATCTTTGAAAACAAATGAAAGTGTTTCAGTCTGTGTCAAGTTAGTGATCAAATCTTTGCAAGCTTAAATATGGGTGAGCTTTAAAACAAAAGTATTCACTTTTGTCAGTCTGCCAAGACCTGAGTGACGTATCTTGGCTTTCTCTGCAGGAAAATTACATTTATACTGGTAATGATGAGCAGTCTCCCACATTGGTATGGCTGAGAACAGGCAGCTTCTGTAACGAGATTTGTTGTGTGGGATTTTTAAGAGCCCTTGTAGATCTAATCAAGTGTCACAAGAATATTTACTATTGACCTAAAACTAAATGTAGATCAGGACCAGGATATGGTTAGCACTTCTGAGTCATATTAGACAGGCCTGCACCTTGCACTGCCCCTTTCTTTGTGTCACTGCAGTAGCACGTTCACCACTGGCATGTTTGCATGGCATTGTGCAACATGGTAGTGCAGCAATACTAACTTTGGTACTGCAAGCTTTAATAACCATTTCACCAAGTCATCCATTTAATCATGTCACTGCCCCAGCTCATGTGGTTTCCAAGCCAGGAGATGTCTCCTCTAGTGTTACGCTAACAATCTCTACCAGTGCTGCACCATCTGATGTGGTCAGTAAATCCTGGAATACCATGGGTGGTCTTGTACTGCCAGCCTAATTGTTTTTTTGTTGGGAAGAGTGAGGTTGCTTCATTGCATGTTCAAATGAGCATTGTACATGTAGATTTAGATTCACTGTTAGGAAAAAATTCTTTACTGTGAGGGTGGTGAGCACTGGCACAGGTTACCCAGAGGAGCTGTGACTGCCCTATCCCTGGCAGTGCTCAAGACCAGGCTGGAGGGGGCCTTGAGCAACCTGGTCTAGTGAAAGGTGTCTCTGCCCGTGGCAGGGGATTGGAACTATATGTTCCTTAAGGTCCCTTCCAACCCAAACCACTCTATGATTCTATGAATAACTGCACTGCGATCTCTGTCTTAATGTATAATTCTAGATAAAACGCTTTTTAGGGGTTGAGTTGAGATGAGTTGGGATTAGGATCTGTGCAACATGAAGGTTGAAATAGTTCTTACTTCAGGCTGAATATAGTAGTTTTCTCAATTTATTTACAGGTGTCTGTTAAGCTTAATGTTCAAAGTTATCCAGTCTCCCCAAAAGTTTATTTTTTCTTGCTTTGTTTGGTTGCAGGTATGCTTTGCTTTTCAAACTGAGCTAAATACTATGTTGCTGTTTGAATGTGGGAATTCAGTTCTCTATTCAGTTCAGTGCAATGTGATTTTTTTGATAAGCATGTGATTGAGTCAAATCACACGTGTGATTGTGTTAAATCACACGTAATTGGAGAGATGTAGGTAGAAGGAAGAGTCTCTCTGAAACTTCGTAACTTGGTTATTTTTGGAAAAGATTTTTTTCAAAAACCCCACTAAACTTCTAAATTCAAAGCATTTGTGTAGGCTTCCTTTTCCCAATGCAGCACTCGGCAGGAATTGCTTAGGAACCTGATTTATTATAGGCTATGCTTATTTATTATTATTATTTTTATATACTTTCAGATAGCTAATGGGTTGGTGCAAACTACTGGCTGGCCGAGTGTCGTTACATGTATTGGCAACTGGTTTGGAAAAGGAAGGTAAATAATACATAATCCAGAGTTTGGGAGTACAAATTGATACATTCTGAGCTGTAATATTATAAGCAATTTAAATATCTTTCTTTTGCTTCAGTGTTTTCTGGGGATGAAACAAGCAGGTAGATCTTTGATACATTGGTTTGAAATACTCTTCCTCATATCAAAATAGATTTTTGTGGTAGCTCTTTAGTCTGATGTTTAGCTTTTCAGATGAAATATTTCAGAATTGAATTAAGAATAATTATAGCAAATATTAGCAGTCTAAAGCTGTTGTCAATGAAGGCTGTTATCATGCCACTGTAGTTTGGAATGTCTCACGTTTTCATTTGTGTTTCAAAGCAGTTTTGGTGTGTAACTCTAAAAGTATCTTTTTGCCAACTTACAGAAACTCAAAAATTGCAATTTAAAAAATACCTGTGTCACCTGATTTAACCTTTCTTTTTGTCACTTTCCTTAAATCACCTCCTTTTTTTCCCCCCTTTAATCCTGCATCGAGATCACTCATAATGTTTATTTTGTCATGTCATACAGGAGTTTTCCTTAAATTTTGCAAGAGCTGCATGCCAAATTCAATGTTTGATGCATGTAGCATATAATAATACCACTGTAGTGCCATCCATTGTACATACATACCATTGAATGAACATAATTGACAATTGGTTGAAGAAAAGGGACATAAGGAAACTAAATATACGTTTTCTACGTAAAATCAAAGCATAGTTAAGAAGGTGTAGGTTCAGACTGGTTTTCCATAGTCCCTGCAGCCTTTGTGGTGAATGTTACAAAATGCAGAGAATGATAACCATCATATAATGTTAAACCGCTTTAGCGAGCCTGGCAAAACAATTACATTTATTCAGATTTTGCTTTGTGCACAAGCAACAGCCTTTGTTTTTAGGAGGCTGCATAGTGAACTGATGGATACGGCTCTGGTTTGAATGTCAGTGATCCGATTCTTGTTTTTATTTTGCTGTGTGTTTTGTGTAACATGAGCAGGCCTCTTAAATCTTGTCTCAGCCAAAGGAAAAGGCTTGGTTTAATTAAAATTAGGTTGTCCCAGGTAGACTCCTGCTGAAGGCAAGGCAGTTTTCTTTCCTTGTAAGTCACGGGAAAAACCTATTAACTGTCATGACTTCAGCAGTATTCTGATGGCTTATTTTAGCTCGGCTGGAACTATTCTACTGCAGCTTTAATCTGTGATTTCCAGGCAGACAGCAGTTTGATGTGTCTGTTATCCAGGCTTGTGCAGATGTTATTTTCTGGTGCCTAGCAAGTCCAGAATGTGATCAGAAGATACTGAATTTGCTCTGCTTATCCTGTACAGATTGTTTTCTTCTGCATGATAAATCTAACATATCCAGAAAAGATGAAGTCATTGGTGCAATGTGTTTACAGGAGGGCTTTCATTCCCAGAAGCAACAGTCTTATCACACGCATGCTGCACAACATCTGCATGCTTGTTTTTATCAAAGAAACTCTGTCCAGAAATAGACAAGCCCTAGCGGTGCCTTTAAATGCAGTTAAATGCAGGCTGAATTGTGTCATGCACAGAGAAGTATTTATAACACTTCTATTAATATTTAGGTGTCTTTGAAATTGCCAGATGAAGGACTGTAGCATAAAGAAGTGGTCAGTTAAAGAACAGTAAGATTGCAAATATTTCACTGGCACCCCAGATGAACAATTATTTTTGATACACTTTTCTCAAAATAGTAATGCTTATTATTGGAATAATAAAAGTTTTTGTGTGGTTTTGTTTTTTTGTTTGTTTTTTTTTTTTAAATTCAGGAGAGGTTTGATCATGGGAATCTGGAATTCACACACTTCAGTGGGAAATATCTTGGGATCCTTAATTGCTGCTTATTGGGTGTCTACGTGTTGGGGTCTCTCCTTTGTGGTGCCTGGTGTTATCATTGCTGTGATGGGAATTGTTTGTTTCCTGTTTCTTATTGAACGTAAGTACTTTAATGGAATAGAACTATGGAGGGCTCTTTATGGGTGAAGAACACCATCTGTTTAAGCTAAATGACCCAGTGCAAAGTATATTCCTCAAGCTTTGATGATACTTAAAGAACTTCTGTCTAGAATACTAGATGGAGAAGAACCCATGTATGTCTGAAGAGTGTATCTGTTCAGACTCTGGTATACCTGAGAGAATAAGACTTCAGAATTCAGTCATTAATTCACTGTCTGTATAAATTGTTCAAGTGTATCTTAGCAGAATGTCCCACCTGTCTGCAGTATATTCTGTGCTCCATTCAACCTATGACATGCATATTATGTGCTGTGAAATACAGAAGTCAGCTGATAGAGGAAGTTTTCTCACTTTAAAGTAGAAAATAGAAGGGAGTGCCCCATCTTGGCCCTGTGTAGACTCTTATGATTGCTTATTTTACTGTAACTGGCCTAACTTGGGAAGTAAAAAATTATGCAGATATAAGTAGAATGCTGTAATGAGCTGGACTGCCAGAATAGTACTTAATGTGGTCATAGCATGGGAAGAGTACCACAGCACCCTTTTCATTTTCTCTAAAGTTACAGTTACACATTTCTACCAGGACTGTTTCTGTGTTATATGAACTGTTTGTTTGTTATCAGTAAATGACACTACTGGTTGGTCTTTTAAGAGGTATTCATTGTGCTTGTTTTCATTATTAACTATGTTTGGTATTGTATTTCAGATCCTAAAGATATAAGTTGCTCCTGCACACTATCCAGTGTAAGTGAATGCTTTTCCTATTTTGAATTTTGCCTCTTAATACACATATTCATTATGATAGTTCTGGCAATTAGATAATTTGTGTGGCCTTTTTGTGCTATGCTGTTATAACTGACCTTATACTTCAGCGAATATTGGTCTTCTATGCTTCACTGTCAAGCCAGTAACTTACTTTCTACCAAAGCAATGTGAATCAGGACATGAATGAGTTTGTTTTAACCAAGGTTTTGGAGCAGATGATCTTACTTTAGTAAAACAGTTAAAAACTGTTCATCATTCTTGAGTTTTCTTACTCTCCCTCAGTCTTCCTGGGTATCTTCAGAGCATTTTTACCTATCTCCTGCTGTTGCTTTCCTTGCTTAGGTATAGCATGATGAGATAGCTGCCAGCCATATTCTGTGAAGGGTCTCTTGCTGTCTGAGAACCCTGCATTAGGCATTGCAGAAAGAGCAAACAGCCCTTTTGCTGAGATAGTATCAATGAACCATGTACTGATGGGCTGGGGAATGGAAAGTGGTATTTACAGGGAAGTACAGTAGGAGCACATGGCTAGGGAGAAGAGGAAGCAAGGGGTGGTTATGAAGTGACTGGAGCAGTCAGTCTGTGACAGTGAGTTTAGTCATGATATAATATGGTCTTTAGTTAACCAAAACTGACATTAATGAAGAGCCGTGAGAAGGAGAGAATCGGTGCTTAGTGGTATGGGTCACATAGCCAATCAATGCTTTAGGTTTTGTGGCATTACAGAATAACTTGGATTGGAAGGGACAGAACCCCTGGACATTGTATAGTCCTACCCTCTGCTCATAGTAGGTCTAAATCTGACATAGGATCAAATTGCTTAAGACTTGCCTGGCAAATTTCAAATCCTCAAGGATGAAGAAGCTGTTTATACATAGATTTTTTTTTTATTTTTTTTTTTAACATACAGTGAGTTTTAGAATGCATTGATCACGTTTTACTGGCCTCAAGGCAGTAGATTTTGCTATTGTATGAGATCTTATACTTCAAGGGCTTAAATTTTGGCAAGGTAGTGAAATTCACTAAGCTCTAAATATACTGTTACATGCACAAACTGTGGAATGCATACTGCATGGATCACGAGGGAGAATGCAGGTCTTGACACAAGAGTTTAAAAATCCAGTATCAGAGATTGGCTGCTGAAGGCATTTTTGAAGCAGGGTTGAAGTGTGTGCTTGTGTGTGTGAAAACATCTAAGCTTTTTCTGGGTTGTGGAACACTGCATGTATATTTCATTGTGCCAGAGCAAAACTCACAACTTTTTTAGTTTTTTCGAAAAGGAAATCTCTCTCTGTAAGTATTAGTGTAAGGTTGTTCAAACAGTATTTTAAAAGTAGGTTGGGAGTGATTCAGCTCTGGTACCAAGGTATTTGCTCAATGCTTTTGAAATGGAAGTTCATGAGACATTTTAGGTACTCTGAGTAATGTAGGAAGCTGTGTCAATGGTGAAAGATGTGTGTTAGAAAGTTTTAGATACTGCATGAGATGATTCCTTTCTTGCCTTCTGTAGCTGTGCCCCAAGAAGAGGGGGGCAATTCAGATAGAATGAGAAAAAAAACAAAAATCAAGGAAAGGGAACAAAAAAGAGAGCATTAGGAAGAAGACCAGCTGAGTATAACTTCCTGTAAGAGTAGTTTGTAGCCTAGTTGCATGTAAGAGTTTGCAGGTTCATCTCTGTTTCATATTCCATAATACTCTGGTATATGTTTGTCTGTATTGTAACCAAAACCTAGAGCAGTGTGTTGCTCCAGGCTCTTTCTCCTTTGACTCCCAGGGGCATGTGGGCAATCAGGTCTGCCACAAATAGTAAGGGGAACTTAGCAAAGAAGGTCTTCAGGTTTCCCGTGTGTGAGGGCAAACAGGGCTATTGAGGAAAGTATTGGACAAAAGATCCTAAGGGAATCCCACATGTTTTCCAGTGGTATGGGATTATGTGTGGAGATTGTCTGCACATGTAGGCTTATGTGAACTAAACCTTTTAGTTGCAAGTCTTACAGGTAGATTGTACAGGGTTGATTGCTGTGTTTTTTACCATCCCCCAGTAGTTTCAAATAGATGGCTTTTTACATTTTAACTGCCCTCTTCTTCTTGAACAGTAACTGAAGGCAATTTTTCTAGTCTGTGTTCTCTCTTCTTTGCCAGTTAATGTTTTGGGATTTTTTTCCTCATATAAAATAATTCTGATAAAGCTTCTGAATACTACTATTGGTCTATGGCACTCCTATTCTTAGTTTGTTACTGTGAGATAAGGTGTACTTACAATGTGCTCTGTATTTTTCATTTAATTCTCTTTCATTTCATAAAGGTAATGTCTGTCAAGTATCATAACAGAGGAGGCATTTTTTCCCTTGGCTTTTATGTAGCTCCGAAATGTTCCTATGAACATTTCAATTGCTGTTTATAATAGCTAGAGCATAATGTTTACAGAATTAGCTGTTAAGCTTTATGGAAGTAAATGTTTGTTATTTGTTTCAAATACATTTTTACTGGAAAGCATAGCTAAAGAGTTTTGTACCATATGGTGCTCATATGATTCAAAGAGCTGTTATAGAAAATACTTGACATTAAATATCTAGTTGCTGTGATATTTTAAACAAAAATGCAGTATTTTAGAAGCTTCCCCTCCCATCCATTCACCACCCTTTTGACCTAACCTTCTCTAGGGCACCCAGCAAGATCACTGCTTCAGGCACAGTCTCAGTCTGTAGGGATGCGTTTGGCCTTCTGTTTCCCTGGAAACCTTGCTCTCCAGAGCAAAAGGCATCACTTCTTCCTATTCTGTATATTCACATTGTAAATCTCACAAGAGGTTTGTAAAAGCGCTTCCCCACCTGCCTTGAACCCTTCTCAGTTTAAGATTCGCCATTGTTTTGGAAAGCTGTATGCCATTTGAATTTCTCAAATACCTCTCTTCAGACCTTGTGGTCTGTAAAGTAGAATGGATTCTAAATCCTTACTGAATAGGGCTCACGGTTTCTGTTCATTGCAGGGAAAGTGTTTTTAGAAGTTAAGGAAATTAATAAGGTAAGAAAGAAGTTCAAGATGATCTACAAATACAGATGTGGTGATGACAAGGTCTGACTGTAAAGAAAACTGATTGCGAAGTGAGGGAAGGTTTGTGTAGTAAAACAGTCTGTGTTATTACTGGGAGCAAAAAAAATTAGCCATATAGTACTAGAGGTAGAATTTGCTAGCAGGCATGAAATTCTAGCTGTCCCTATTTGCTCAGTCATTTCAACAACCTGAACAACCTGTGTGCCTTTGCAAATAGTAAGAAATGTTAGAAGGTTTCTAAAAACCTTTAAAGAAACATATACACTTGCTTTGCTCATAAGGCCTAGTAGGTTATTTTGGACAGATGGTTAGGTGCAGGCAGCTCTGCCAGATGGTGCCAAAAGTCAAACCTCATTGTGGAAGAATGAGACCAGTTAAATTTAAGCACAACTAAAATAAATGCTTAATATAAGGGAAGGACTTAGGGTAGATTTATATTAAGATTTATAGATCAGATTCATCTCTGGATGATATCACTATCTTGGATGAATTTAGTCTACTGTTTATTTGCAGCATGATCGTGAGCCAAATATTTCTACAGAGTTTGTAGTGGTGAATCATCTGATTTGAGTTGTACAGAAGCACAGACGGAGAAGCAGGCACAGAGCCTTTAATGTGCAGTCTTACTCTTTATTCACTGATTTCTTGGGCTGTGCTTCATTTGCTTGTATTCACCTTGGCTCTGATTCATGAATCTGAAATTTATTCAAAACAAATATTTGAGTACAATAAAGTGCTTTTACATGCTAGCATTGAAGGCATAATCTATGACCTTCATCTGTGACTTTCTGAAAGGCTATACCTATGACAAATGCAAGCAAGAAATCAGTATGCTTTATTAAGCATTGCTGATTGCTGCACTTTCATAATGAAAGTTAAAAAGTAGATTTACTGGCATGTGTGAAATGTCATGATTTAGATCTGTTTTTACCGCTTGTCATCTTTTCTCCCTGTACCTCTTTTTTTCTTTTTTTTTATTCCCCATGGTAAACGTGTTAGTTGCAGCATGTTCATACAGACCTTTGTGTTCTAGGAACTTCTTTAGCCTGACTTTGCATTTCCAGGAAACTTAGCTCTCTTAAACTCCTGTAACAAAGTGCATTTAAAAGATACCAGGCTGCAATCCTTACCTTTTGAAAAGGAGAAAGAAGTCTAAGTATTAAATGTGCAGCCTCTCGGTCTAGTCTTTTTCCCCAGACATTTCCTCCTTAGCATGGTAAATCTTATTTTTGAAGTCAAATGAAAAAATCTTTCATTTCTTTTATTCTGCTGAGCTGCTGAATAAAGATGTAGATGACTTGTCTCTAGATACTGGATTTTCTTCCCCACAGATTACTATGAATCACTTTTTTGACAAGAGCCTAATTTCATGTAAGATAAAAATTAAAAATCTGTTTTATCAGATCCTGGGCCTTTGAGTGTTGTTTGTTTGCTTTGGGGAATGCATGCCCGAGACTGCTCAGGCATCAGCTCTTGCTTTCGTTTGTCCTCAGAAGTTTTTTGTCTCGTTAGAAGGACTTCATTGATGAATGGCAGTTTGTCTAAACAATTCTGCAATACGTACCCTTGTATTTTTGTTGAGGAAGAATTATCTAGTGATTAACTTTGAATTAAAATGTTCTGTGAGGATGGGCATTCTTTTTTTATTTGTGGTGGTGTTTCTGGGGGATTATTTGGGTCAGGGTTTGGTTTTTTTGTTTTGTTTTGTTGGGTTTGTTTGTTTTTCTGTTTTAATGTGGCACCTACAGTGTGATTAGACACACAAATATCTCATCCCTGAGGGATGCACAATACCTCTTGAGGTCTTAGCAATAGGTTATATGTACCTGACTGCAAACCTACTTTGAAGTTGTATATTTAATTCGGCAAACAAACCTTAATGTCCCTGAAAAATTTTTTAGACCAAGGATCTCAGGTTGATGTTTTCCAATGAATGCCTTTTTGGTGTGAATTGATACAGTAGTGCACTTGTAAATAAGTAAGTATAAGAAGCAGGTTCATCTGGGGCTTCAGTTTCTCTACTGAGCATACTGGAGGTGCTCAGACTCTTCAACAAGAACACAGTCTATTTCTGGGTTAGAAGAATACAGTGAGCATAAGCTAAAGGGTAAGCTTTAATCTCAAAGAGGCAGGGAAATGAAGAATCAGAGATTTCCTGAAATAAATCAACTTCTGTAGTTGCTACATGTAGGATCATCTGCTTACGAGAGAAAAAACTGTTTGCCATGTCAATGAAAGTTCAGTAGAGGACAAAGCAGCTGAAGAAGTTAAGAATGGCATGATTATTAAGGATGGCATGATTGTGTTCTGAATTAAGTATGCTGCCTCTATATAAAAGCAGTATGAAGTTAGCATTCAAGCAAATTTGTGATTGCATTTTATATACATTGCTATAGGTCTGTGTAAGGACTTTAAAAACCCAAATGTGCAGTCATTAGATTAAAGATGTTCCATTTGGGGTTATGTTTATGTTGCAATGCACAAAGACTTTTGTTGCAGAAAACTGATTAACACTAACGTAATCCTTTAAAAAACAAGCACCAAAAGTATGCGGGTTTGTTTTGATTATTTTTTTATTTTTTTTTTCCCCCCAGAGTTCTAAAGCCTTCCTGAATGGTGCATCTCGATTCAGAGTTCCGATGCCAAACTTGAATACTAAGGAAACCAGTAAACCTCAGGTAAAATATAACGAACATATTGTTATAAAATAGCATAGAAGACTTGCTAATGCTCACATGGACTATTTACAGTAGATTTACTGTTGGCAGAGATTGCTCTTCCTTTTATGATGCTAAAATCTACTTCCATCTTCATACACAAATTTAACTTTAGACAAGGGAACTAAACATTATCTAGTATAAATACTGCAAACCAAGCTGAATAAGGTAGAGTGCTCAGTTGGTCTTATCTTGTGATCCTCATGTTCCACAAAAGAAATGTGCTGCAAATTTTAAAGATAGCCCATTTGAAATCTTTAAACTACTTACATCATGTTTGTCTTGTCCTTGCAGTCTCACATTTGTCCCTTTTTAGTGTAATAAATTTATGTACTTATAAGATTATACATGGAGACAGAGAGTCTTAAATATGAGCACTTATTGACAGAAATTTTGCTTAAAATTTGTAACTGAAAGTGCCATTAATTCTCACTAGAAATGGAATTCCGGATTTGCACATTTATGAGCAAAAAGACATTTTATCTTGAGACGGACATTGACTGAAAATTTCCACTTGAAATTTTGTTTTTGTATTCAGTACACTTGGCACGCCATATCCTGAGAGGGTAATTTTTTTTAGCTGCTTTCAGACTTTTACAGGAAAATAGAAACTTCCTGTTCTTTTTATCCTTTGCCTGTAGAATTAATGAGTGTTCACAGAGTGTATTAATCAGTGTTGATGAAAAAGTTTTGAAATTTTAGGTAAGGAAGTATTTCACTCATAATTTTCATCAGTCCACCTTAAGCCCCCTCTGTACTGACTCTATTCATGTTCATTTTGAGCTGCCCAAGAACAGTCTCCATCCTAGAAACCATTTGGCAATATTATTTCACAACCAACTGGAAAAGGGGAGAAGATGTAAGGCTATAAGTAGGTGTCTTTAGACAAGTCATGAAGATAGAATTAAAATACAGTCAGCAGATCAGTAGACAAAGATTTCTCTTCTAAATCTACTGGTACCTCTACAATAAGAGGACTGTGCAAAGAGTCTGTATAACAAGTGGGCAAGGAAAACGTACCCCCCACATGCTGACTGGTTCTCCCTTGTGAGCAGGACAGAGACAGCAGTGGACAGCAAAGCATGAGGGCACTTACTGGCAATCCTGTCAATATTCCCCCGTGCTTCATCCTGCCAGCTGAGTTATATGTTTGTAATACAGAGTCTTAACAAGACTCAAAGATAAATTAATAAAAAACATCAAAAATCTTTGTCCCTGTTTGGGATGCCCTGATTTTCTGCCAGTGACAGAAGATAATCTTTTTGCTCTCAAAGTGGAGTTCAACATCTTTCCTTTTTACAGTGGTTGTCTTACAGTTACGCTGAGCTGATTATCGCAGTCAGCTTTTGTGCCTGTACAAACAGCAGATGTTTTGCATTTATGGGCTGGTCTCCAAGCACACTGGAATGGCAGCTTTTACTGATTTTTCATTGACCTCTTCAATTACTGTAAAAAGAAAGCAAATATTCAGGATGTGCAGTGACTGAAAGCAGAACGTGGTTTTGGCTACGTGATCTGCATACCTCTGTGTGTTCATTACTGCTTGTGTCAGGTTGGCCTCTTAAAAATTATACAAAATTGAGGGATAATGAATCCTTCCCCAGAGATCAAGAGTGTGCCATATGCCTAATCACACTCTATGACAAGCTGGCAAGGCTGAATAATGTTGTCTCAGCCAAGCACAAATGCTGGTTTTATTTATCATTTAGCTACGTGCAGCATAAAAATCCCATATTGTCAATAAAACTTTACAGCATGAGTTGCTAAATAAATTATTTGGACTTTGGTCACTTCTGCTTCAATATTTAATCCACCCTTCCTGAGTAGGCTTAGAGCTGCCTCTCTGAGAAATGAGGAGCATTACGTCAGACAATCCTGGTTAAGTTTGCTGTGCAAATTGTGCAGGAGATACTCACTTAAGACACTATCTAAAATTGTCTTCATTGAATCCAGTGGGAAGTTTCACTGCTTAAGGCTTTGGGGTTTTTGCTCCCCTTTTCCCTCTTACTCTCTTTACCCCTTTCCCTCAGTCTTAATACCTGATGAATTGAATTGCTACTGTTAAAATGCTGAGGTTTTGAAGTTGCTCCAGTAATACAGAAGATAAATACTTCGGATGATGATGGAGTGACTCATGTGCCATAACAGAAGTTTACAGTGCCATGTCAGAGGTCCCTAGATGTTTTTCCTCTCTTCTAGATAATACTTCATCAGGCTACAGGGTCTCCTGTAAATCCTGCATCCTATCTACCAATCCTACACAAAAATTTTGGATGTTGCGTGGTAGCTTCTAAAACCATGCCAGGTGTCTGGGTTCAGGTGCCCAGATAGTTGCCTAGTCTTCTAGGAAACTTCTAGTTCCCTTGTCTTCTCCTAAATAAAGTTATTTAAAACCAGAATTTATTTAGAATCGCTGAGTGTAAACTAGTAAAATTAAATTTGTTCAGCAGTTGATTATTTTTTTTCTTTCTTCCTCTATCAATTTACCAAATATTATTTAGAAAGTTTTAATCTGCTGGAAATGGAACGGAAAATGGAAGTGGAATGGCCCAGTATTTTATCCTTAGTAACCTACAACCAAATACATACTTGAGGCTTAATTCTTTACTAAGGCTTTTCCTTCTAATGCACAAGAATTAGGAGAAAGATGACAGTATGTAGAAAACACCTAGCTGTGTACTTTTACTAGCTATGGATAAGCTGCTCAGCAAGCAGTTGGAAATGAGTATAGATATATCCCATCTTTTTTCTGAGTTGGATAAGAAGTACTGAGGACTATTTATACCTGAAATTTCTTCTTGTGTCTGCAGCTGTAAGGTGGAAATTTCCAATTCTATGCCAAGAGTTCACTTCAGTGTGATGGATGGATAAAAATAACAAGATATCCTCGTGGCTAGACTGGGATGGCTTGTTCTTGTTGAGTGATGACTTGCTCCACAAGTATTCTTAGCAGCCAGTGGAATTATTAGAGTAAAATCCTTCCTAGTACTAGAAAAGAACTCAGAATTCACAGTTTAGGTAATAATGGTAAACTCCAGACTTTTATAATTTATGGATTGTAATGTTCAGATGAAACAGACATGTAAAATAAGTGCATAAAGCACTCAATGTCCATAACTCAATTGGGAAGATGGCCTATATTTAAATCGGTGAATAAGATGATGTTACAGAGTCTGAAAAATGGGCTTAATGTTTGTAACAGAAAGAAGATAATGTATGCTTTTGTATAGAAATGTGTTGTAGTACTCAGTAGATTGTCAGTCTTAATTAAACCATATTAATATAGTGGCATAAGGGAAAGCTGGAAATTGTTTTATTCCATTGTACTCTAATTGTACTCTAATATGTGGTTTTTGCAATTTGAAATTGTTCCAGAATAGAACAGAATTTTGATTGCACAGTGGAGTGTATGCACTCAGACATAAACAGCCAGGCTTCTTTCACCCAGTAGTCTATATATACTTTCTACTCTCTATAAACTCCAAATAAAAAGCTTTTTTTAAATCTGTAACTTTCTGTGATAAAAAAAATGGAATTATTTGATTCCCTGATACATGTTTTGATGCATTATTCCTTTCTGTTTCATATGGTGTTTCTGGGGGAAATCACAGGATTCCCTGATACATGTTTTGATGCATTATTCCTTTCTGTTTCATATGGTGTTTCTGGGGGAAATCACAGGATCCAGAGGTGCAGCATTTACTTACTGACAGTGAAAATAGTAGTACGTCACTGAACCCCAGCACTGTGGTCACTGGGGAAAGCAGACACAGGACAGCAGCTATCAGCTTCTTTGGGGCCTTGCGAATACCTGTGAGTACATTTACTTGTATATCTTGACTGTTCCTCTAAGAAGTTTATTCCTCAGAATTCATATTTCCATGAAGCTCTAAATGAAGTGCCAGATGAGTTTAACTTTGCATCACAAGCTTTGATTGGCATCTCTGGTGCATATGTTATGGCAGGGCCCTTTTGTCATGTTTTAACAATACTCAGGTGCATCAAGCACAGAAGAATGACCTGGTCAAGAGGTGATTATCCTGCTGTATTCAGCTTTGGTGCTGCCTCACCAAGAACACTGCGCTGGCTGGGCTTCACAATTTAAGGATGTGAAGGTCCTTGAATGTGTCCAGAGGGCAACAAAACTGGTGGAAAGACTGGAAGGAATGTCCTGTGAGGAGCGGCTGTAATTTTAAAATCTTTTGTATGGTTTATATTGAGAAGTTTCAGACAGCCCAAACATTTGGACTACTGTTTTCCTGAAGTTTCTTTTAAGTCAGGGACTATTATCCTTCATTGTCTTCTGGTCTTGAAGCCTAGCAGCCTCAATGGGAGGCACAAGTAGAATTACGTGCACATTGATTCAGACCAGGTATAAAGGTAGGGGAAGAAATCTCCAGCACTCAACCACTGTATTCCTGTATCTTCTCATCAGGACCAGATTGGTCCTCAAGTAATGGGTAAAAAAATTGCTGCTGCTGCTACCTGGAATCTCTCTAACTGTGATTTTATTTTTATTTTTAATTTTTTTTTTCTGCCTCTTGTTTGGAAGGGTTACAGCTGTATGTAAAGGATAGCCGGCCATGTATGTGTGCTGTCCATGCAGATAATTGTGGTGTCCAAACCAGAGATTTAATAAATACTGTTTCAAGCAAAAATATATCAGATGGTGAGGGGAATAAAGATAGGTCATTTTGGCAGTTTAGCTGCAGCTCTCTGCAGTAAGTGTATTTTCCATGTTCCCTGCAGAAAAGAGTGGAACAAATTGGTATTTTAAATAGACATATGCACTGTTTGTAGTGTGCTCTTGCCACATACTGATTTGAGCTGTGATGTACTAGTTGACTGTCTTTTTGCAAAGAGTTGATAAGGGAGAAATCTTAGACTCATCTGAAGGATGGGTGTAAAGAATCCATCTTCTCTTGAATACACTCTAAACCAGCTATAACACTATATAAAAAATCTGGACATGAGGAAAATAAGTGATGCAGGTGTCCCAAACAGCATCAAATCCTTCCTCTTCATTTTAGTGTTCCCTCTTCAGTCAATTCAGTACAATTAAGAGAAGTAAAGTAAAATACCACAGTCTGCTCTGATTGTAAGCTTTGAGCTCTCAGGGGAAAAATGCTTCTTGGAAATTCTTGAGAGAAAATAAAAAGCCTAAGTGTTTCTTAGAAACCATTTTTATAATAGTCGTTGAAAGCAAATAGCAGCCTCTGTCACAATGCTAACTTCCTACTTTTTTTTATTCTCTCAGGGAGTCATAGAGTTCTCCCTCTGTCTTCTGTTTGCAAAGTTGGTGAGCTATACTTTCCTCTTCTGGCTTCCTCTCTATATCACCAATGTAGGTAAGTATCACAGTAAAGGGATAAAGAATTACAACTACAAAGTATCTGGAAATACGAGCTTGAAATAAATAAAATGAGAGATGAGCAATCCTGAGGAGGAAGAGGACTTGGGGCACTGGTGGATGAAAAGCTGGATGTGAGCTAGCAGTATGTACTTGCAGGCCAGAAAGCCAACTGTATGTTGGGCTGCATCAAAAGAAGCATGACCACCAGGTTGAGGGAAGTGATTTTCCCCGTCTACTGTGCTCTGGTGGAAGAGGGCCACTCTATGACTTCTGTGAAGAAAGGCTGAGAGTTGAGGTTGTTCAGCCTGGAGAGAAGTCTTTGGGGAGAGCTTATCATGGCCTTTCACTACTTAAAGGGGGCTTATAAGAAAGACAGGGACAAACTTTTTAGTAGGGTTGCAATGGGACAGGGGGTAATGGTTTTAAACTACAAGAGGGTAGGTTTAGATTAGATATAAGGAAGAAATTGTTTGCAATGAGAGTGGTGAAACACTAACACAGATTGCCCAGAGAGGTGGTAGATGCCCCATACCTGGGGACATTCAGTGTCAGTTTGGGCAGGGCTCTGAGCAACCTAATCCAGTTAAAGATGTCCCATTTCATTGCAGGCATGTTGGACTAGATGGCCTTTGAAGGTCCTTTCCAACCCAAATCATTCTATGATTGTATGTTTGTTAAAGTGGTAACATGTCTCTTGCTGTTACTGTGGTTGCATTCAAAAGCATGTATCCCTGAATACCCGCTTATGGTACATTCTTATTTTTCTCATACAATGACACCTTATGGTAGCTTATTCCTGTTTATAAACAGTACTGCTGTAAAATACGTTTACCCTAACATGACAAGACTGTGGTGAGGTTTCTATGTTTTATAGTCTGGAAATGAGACAAACGTTTTACTTCTCTCACTAGAGCATCTTGATGCCAAAAGAGCTGGGGACCTTTCTACACTGTTTGATGTGGGTGGAATCTTTGGTAAGTTTTAATATTATATTTCATCCTTAATCACACCAGTTTAGAAAAAGCTATGGTACTATTATTAGTCATTGTGCAATATGTCTACTTAAGAAGAGTGGCAGTAAAGGTAATAAGCTGAGAGTTGAGTTGAACATTGAAAACCTAGCAAAACATCTTCAGACTGAACAAGTGACAGAGCCAAGAGCTAAATATTGTGGAATCTTTTAGCTCCATCAGCTCTGGCCCATGAGTCCTGGTCGCTCCACATATCCAAATATCATTTTGTTTTCTTTTCTCACTCTAGTATAGCAAAATTATCCCAGCTGGTATAGTTACGTATTTTTTGTGGGCACAGAAGTGAATGGCCACAGGTGTTTTGTTTTTTTGGTGGGTTTTTTGATGCCTTATAAAACTGTGTGTGATAAAATTGGAAGATTATAGTAGTAACAGTAAGGGCGAGACCATTTCTTTGCAATTTGTGAGGTGACCACTGAATAATTAAATTTATGCCAGAGCTCACAATGCAGACAGCGTTATAGACTCACAATATGGGTGATAAGCAACTTCTAGTTTATTTGTCACGCAGTTCACACATATATTGGAGTGGTATTCAGCCACTCCTTCGTGGCATAACAGTATTGGTTAGCCCCCACAGCTTCCTCCACACGGTCTCTGTCCACCTGTGAGGGCCACCCCCTGCCTTGCTTGCACAGTCCTCCAGAACTCTATGGTTCTGCTCTTAAAGTCATTCTGCAACAAAGGACCTTAAGATCATCTAGTTCCAGCCCACCTGCCATGGGCAGGGACACCTAACGCTAAATCATATCACCCAAGGCCTCGTCCAACCTGGCCTTGAACACTGCCAGGGATGGAGCATTCACAACCTCCCTGGGCAACCCATTCCAGTGCCTCACCACCATAACAGGAAAGAATTTCCTTCTTATATCCAACCTAAACTTCCCCTGTTTAAGTTTTAACCTGTTACCCCTTGTCCTGTCACTGCAGTCTCTAATGAGGAGTCCCTCTCCAGCATCCCTATAGGCCCCCTTCAGATACTGGAAGGCTGCTATGAGGTCTCCATGCAGCCTTCTCTTCTCCAGGCTGAACAGCTCCAACTTCCTCAGCCTGTCTTCATACTGGAGGTGCTCCAGTCCCCTGATCATCCTCGTGGCCCTTCTCTGGACTTGTTCCAACAGTTCCATGTCCTTTTTATGTTGAGGACACCAGAACTGCACACAATACTCCAGGTGAGGTCTCACAAGAGCAGAGTAGAGGGGCAGGATCACCTCCTTCGACCTGCTGGTCACGCTCCTTTTGATGCAGCCCAGGATACAGTTGGCTTTCTGGGCTGCAAGTGCACACTGAAGCCAGCTCATGTTCATTTTCTCATCAACCACCACCCCCAAGTCCTTCTCCACGGGGCTGCTCTGAATCTCTTCTCTGCCCAACCTGTAGCTGTGCCTGGGATTGCTCCGACCCAGGTGTAGGACCTTGCACTTGGCATGGTTAAACTTCATGAGGTTGGCATCAGCCCACCTCACAAGCGTGTCAAGGTCCCTCTGGATGGCATTCCTTCCCTCCAGCATATCAACAGAACCACACAGCTTGGTGTCATCGGCAAACTTGCTGAGGGCGCACTCAATCCCACTGTCCATGTCAGCGACGAAGATGCTGAACAAGAGCGGTCCCAACACCGATCCCTGAGGGACACCACTCGTTACTGGTCTCCAGCTGGACATTGAGCCATTGACCACAACTCTGTGTGTGGCCATCCAGCCAGTTCTTTATCCACCGAGTGGTCCATCCATCAAATTGATGTCTCTCCAATTTAGAGACAAGGATGTGGTGTGGGACAGTGTCAAACGCTTTGCACAAGTCCAGGTAGATGACATCAACTGCTCTACCCCTGTTCATCAGTTCTGTAGCCCCATCACAGAAGGCCACCAAATTGGTCAGGCAGGATTTCCCCTTAGTGAAGCCATGCTGGCTGTCACCAAGCACCTTGTTGTTTTTCATGTGCCTTAGCATGCCTTCCAGGAGAATCTGCTCCAAGATTTTGCCAGGCACAGAGGTGAGACTGACTGGTCTGTAATTCCCCGGGTGCCAGCAAGCATTATTATCTTGATGCCCAGCTGATTTATGACACACATGCACACCCCCATCCCCTCTCCAGCTCTCCCACTTTCCTTATGGAAATAAGCCCTGTTTCAGTCTACTGGAAAATGATGTTCCTGATACTCGGAAGTTTCACTGGATCATGACCTATGAGGCCCTGATAGTTCAAGATGCAGGTGTCAAGGTATGTTGCAGTAACTGTTCCAGTCTTGTGTTGGATGTGACTTCTGCCATTTCTCACTTCTTATTTCATCCTAGACAGCTAGAAGCCAGAGTCAGTAGAACCTCAGAGACGTGACTTCTTGCAGGAGCATCCTTATATCCCTGTGAATACAAGCTTAACAAAGTGCTGCTTGGATCTTTGGCACTTACATTTAAATTCAAGTGGGATATGAGCACTTTGGAGATGGGCAGCTGGGGAAGGAGAGGCAGGCCCCATGATATTTGAGAATCTGGAGAACTTCCTTTCCTTCTCCCTGTATCAGGTTCTCTTTACATCATTTTGGCAGCTCCTTCCCTCTGGCCTCCGGCCCCCTCCTGCCACATGCTCTGATTAGTACTTCTGTGTCCAGTTGCTAGCAAACACAAGAAGTAGGGAAAATTTAAGAGCCTGGAGTGAGCACCTGGAGAGAAAACAAAGTATTTAATTTGCCACAAGATCTGGAATAGCTCATTTCTCCTGGTTGCACTACGATGCAGACAGAGCGCTTGAGAGCCAAGTTTACTCTTGCATGTTAGGAGTTAAGAGACCATTGAGTCAGCTGGGCACAGCTGGATTCCCAAATGCCAGCCGTGGGGTCACTTAGCAGCTGGCAAAAAGGTTTTTGCATTCAAAACCAGCAGAACAATTATTTATACATATAATTCTATGAACTTCCATCTCTATTCTGCCCCCAAAACCTGTCATACTGGATATTTGTTTGGAATAAATAGTGAGGAAGAACAACTGTCTGCTTCTGTTATCTTCCAAGTCAAAACCAGCTGGGTTAATAAGGATATTGCTAAGTGTGAATTATGTTGTCAGTCTAATCCTCTGTGCTGCTGTGCATTAAGAGTCATATTATGTTTTAATCTCAGTTGAGTTTCATTAAGTGTAATTGATGTCTTTTGTGTAAAACGTGCACAGAGTGTTTTCCTCACACACCTGTGTCTTTTTCAGGTGGAATTTTGGCAGGCCTGATTTCAGACAGGCTGGAGAAGAGGGCATCAACCTGCGGAATGATGTTATTGCTTGCAGCACCCACAGTAAGAATTTGCTCCTCTCTTACAACTGTGGCTGAGACTTTGACAGCAGTCCTTGGGAAGTTCTGCAGACAGCATCTTCTAATTTGGATATAGAGAGTTCAGGGCAGGTTAAAAGCCGGCATGAAAGTTGAGCATGTGAACAATTATAGACATCGGGGCTGCCTTTACTAAATGAGCAGAAAAGTCTCATGTTGTTCATTGGAAAATGTCACTCATGTAAAATTTGATGTTCAGTTCTTAGCCAGAATTTTACCTGCTTAAAGACAAAAATTTCTGTGCTGTAGCTGTTGGAAAACTGGCATTTTTTCTTTGATTCCTTTGTGATCAGTATTCTATGCTTTGTTGCAGCTGGCAGTTTGAGAGTTTAAAACTGAGTAATCTCATAAAACAGCCCTTTCTTCTGAAAGGACATACTGGGGAATAGGAGCATACCCCTTGTCTCCCTCCTGTGTCCAATCAAACAGTCCTGCTGCATATTTAGTAAAACCTAGAAATAGCTTTCACATAATAGCAGCTAAGATATTTTGTAGTTAACATGGGGAAATGAGAAAACATGGGGGAAATGGGGGATTTAGGATTACTCCATATGCTGGTATTCAGCATGCATGTTTTTTCATCTTTACAGTTGTACATGTTCTCTGCAGTTAGTAAAATGGGCCTTGAGGCTACCATAGGTGAGTATGTTAAAATTATTTTCTGTCTGGCTTTCTGTGAAATTTTCATTTATGATCCTTTGGTCTTTTTCTTACTTATTTATTTTAATTTTGTCTTTTCACTTAGAGGAGGGAGTTTGGAATCAAATTCCCTAGACTTGTCTTGCTGGCTTTTTAACAGGGTAAGGAAGGGCAGGCTAGGAAATGGGTAAAGGGTGGCACGGGAGCAGTGATTTAGTTAATATTATTCGCTTTCTTTCTGGAGCTGCTTGTGTCAGCACAGGCTTTATTATATTCCCTATGCCAAATGTCAGAGGTGTTTAAAGACTACTTGAAGTCCTTTTGATGGCAATGTTAACTTTACTTGTATAGGCTGAATTCACTTGTGGCTTTCTATCTGTTACCTCAAAACAGAAGTAACACAAGTGCTGACAGTAGTGTGTCACCTACCAAAAGGCCTTGTAAAGTTTTAGGGCCCTCTGGTGCTTGGTACTGTACAAAAAGAGAAGAGATTTACAGGTGGATCCTGTGAGGATCCCCTGCTCTTAGGGTCAGTTTGGTCAGATTTTCCCCTTTCTCTGACCTACTGGGATCAATAAAGTTCCTGGGAATTGCCTTTTAACTCATCCCTATCTCACTGTATTTGAGAATTCACATCATGGAGTGAGCATTGAAGAGAAGTAGGAATGTATGTTGCTTTTCCTCCTTTCCCAATTCTATTGTGGGATCGGGGAGTCAAGGAAGGATTAAAGCATTTGAGAACTATAAGGCTGTGATGTCTCCTGTGTTACGGTTAACAGTCTTTTGGGCAACTTACGTGTTCCATTTTTGTCAACTTGCAACAGTGATGCTGCTCATCAGTGGTGCCCTGGTGAATGGCCCTTATGCTCTGATCACAACTGCTGTTTCTGCTGATTTGGTGAGTTTGGCTTCCCCTCTGCTTCCAGTATAGCAGCTGTGGCCTCCATAGAGAGCCCTTTGACTTCTGCAGAGTCATCAGTGAACAGGCTGCGTTGTCCCAGAGCAAAGGGGCAGAATAGGCAGTGCTGAACTCAGCCACTGAAATTGTTCTGGAGTTCGTGTGTTGGTGTGAATGCATTGTCATGCTTGTGAGAGGCTTCTAAATTATTCTTGCTTACTAATAAGGCAGACCAAATCTTGTAGATGGCAGCCCAAGGTCAATGTGAAGGCTACGTGCAAAGCCAGGTCTCTGTACAAATACCTTCTCCCCTTTTATAATTTTCATCATTAAAAGAGGGGAGGAGCTGTATCTATGTGACAGTTGAGCTGGTGACTTAATTCCCATCAGTGCAAAAAGCTGTATCTGACACATACCTTTACTTTTGTCCATGCTGCCTTCTTCCCTTTAGCATACAGTTACTCTAGATACCAGCATTTCCAGCTGGATCCAGTCAGTAAGTCACAAATGCCATGTGGAAACATTGACCTTGGTACCTTTCATTAGGTACACTTTGGAAGTCTGGTCTCAAAAGGTTTTGGCTCCTTAAGACACCAAGCAAAAGGGAAAAATCCTGTAACAACAAATACTCTAAATATAGGAGAAGGAGCAGGATGGAAATCTCCAAGCTTCCTCTGAAAGCCTGTCCTTGGCATGGGGGCTTGGCAAGACAAAGGCAGCCACCCATTTTATCCTTAACCTTGTTGGAGGGGCCGCTAGCTAGAAAGTGCAGCCTGACATGGCAAGATCCCTACATGACCCTTGGGAAGAGGGTTGAAACTGCCAACCGAAATTCCTCAGATATCAACAGTCAAACATCTAAAGCAAGCAAATGTAAGTCACTGATTACCTGACTGGATTCTCCTCAGTGTAGTGGAGATAAAGGACTGTTTCTTATTAGCAGTTCTCCAAATTATTGAGTTTCTCTGTCTTTCTACTAAGTTACTCCCTTTATCAGTTATTTTGCTCTGAAGATCTGGCTTCTAAAATTGGAACTAAAAGCCTTCTTTTGACTCAGGAAGTCTCTGAGTTAGCATTTCAGTATATATCCATAATTCTGGTGTTCCTGCCACAGCAATGGGGTTTTTCTTCTGTTTGTTTGGGTTGAGGAGTGTTTTGTTTTCTTTTTCTTTTGTTCCATGGGGCTTAGTGGGAAGAGATGGCCCTGGAAACAGCCTTGAGGCATAATGCAAAGCTGAAGTGCTGTCCTTTTTTGAATCCACAGTGTGCAGAATAGAAAGCTGCTTGGCTCGTGTGGTTTAAGTAACATGATTTAATAATGGAGAACACTGTAGACAGTAGGTAGTTGGGGTAGGAGGCTTGTTCAAGTAGAGATAAAAGGGTCTGATCCGAGATGTTTAAGGCATCTTCACAATGTACATCTAATGTGGATGGGTGTGAGTTAGTTGAAAGGACTTCAGAGTTCAGCTCAGGGTGGATCTAAGCAGTCTTTGTCTCTTTAGGGTACCCATAAAAGCCTGAAAGGGAATGCAAGAGCCTTGTCCACAGTTACAGCAATCATCGATGGAACAGGATCTGTAGGTAAGCCAGAGCTGTAAGGTAGCCTGCCTTAGTTGTGGTAGGTTAAAACAAAGGATCTTTGAGAATGTGGGCTCTCTCCAGGATGCAGTACAGCTTTGGAAATGAGAACTAGAGCAAACTTAGCATTAAATCTCTCTAGTTGTCCCTGAGGGAGGGAGGAAAGAAGGAAGAGAGGTAGACTCTGGGCGCAGACAGCAAAAGTAGATACCACTGGGCTCCTTCTCAGATCAGGGATTCCACACTGGTACGTGGAAGGGAAAATTGAGTAGGATTCAGCTTAATACTGAATGGTCATTTTGTTGAGCCGAATATAGGCATTTCTCAAACTTCTAGTCTTTCAACTTCACCTGTGGTAGGGTTCCCATTGGCTGGCAGCTTTACTAGTAATGTTTTGAGCTTTCTGTAACCTTTTAATACATAAGATAAATAATGAGTTAAAATTGATATTCAAATTCAGAATAAGTATCTTTCAGCTTAGTAAATCTTATATTGCATCATTCTGACAGTATCAATATTATATTTTAGGTGCAGCTTTGGGGCCTCTCTTAGCTGGTCTTATTTCCCCATCTGGTTGGAACAACGTATTTTACATGCTCATGATGGCAGATGCATGTGCCTTGCTAGTAAGTCTAAAAATACTGTTTAGTTGCCATGTATTTCCTCTGTGCTAAGCTATCTTAAAATGCAAATTTTCTTTTTGCAATTTCAGTACTCTGTTTAACAAGAAACTTCCAATTGTGTAGGAAATCTTCAATTAAACAGCAAATTTGCTCATTTTGAAATTCTCATCTAATTTTAATCAAAAGTGTAGATTAGTTCTGATGCACTTCAGTTGCAAGCAACTACACATCTGTTGATTGCTGGCTGAGCAGATAGCAGCAGGCATAATTGTAAGTAAACCTTCATACACAGACCTAGAAGATGCCTCAGATTCCACTCATGGAAGAATTACTTCCATTTTCTTTAGAGCCGGTTTAGCGAAGTAGTAATAAATGCCTTGCTACATTGCTGTATCACCAAAATCACCACAGTACTGAAGATGTTGAAAGTTAATACATCGCATTCCCCAGATGGGCCCTAAAACTGCTGTACTGGGTTTGACGGAAAACTGGCATCTTAACTTTTGACAGTCACCATGAGCAGATATTTAGGGAAAAGGATTGCAGCACACATGGTGGCTTGGTACAAAACACATCCATTTTCCCTTTTTCTCCTGTTGGAGATCCTGTATGATTGATAGGAAGATCTGGAAAGTTGGTTGGGTTTTTTTCCCACTTCTGGCTTGCCCTGTTTTGCTTGTAAAGACCACGGAAGACACAACATGAGGCAAGGAAAGTCTTGCTGCAGCTTTGAAGTCAGTCTTGCTGCACCCACCTGTAGGTTAGCCTGAAGGTTATGTGTTTGTGTTTGCCACAGATTTCCCTGGCAAGTGTCTGTACAAGCTTTGTTCTGCAGTAGAGCAGAATGCTGCTATGACTACCTCAGGACAGTACTGAAGCATCACCTGCTTATCCTCTCCTTTTGAAGTCATGGGTGGAAGTGCTCACTGAAAGGGCAAGGTGACTGTGAAAACACGTCAGAAGTACTCCTTGTCCATACTGGCTGTGACCAGACAAAGACCTGTGCCTGCACAGTATTGCACTGAGCTTTGTTCTCATGCAGAGGAGCTAATGCTGAGTGCCTCAGACCACTCTCCTGACACAAGAAAAGCAGGAAGTCTTGCTTTGAGTTACAAGTGAGGCTTTTTTTTCTCAATTTCTGTTAAGCCCAAAATTTTAAAGTACATTTTTCCACATTTAAGATGTGAATTCTCTGGAAATTAAGTAAATAAATTAGGTAACTTAATAATAATTAAAAAGTTTAAAATAGCTAAGTTAATAATTGGATAAGTTAATAATTAGGTAATTAAATGTTGAAATATGTTGCAACTGGTAGTCAGCAGCTCTGTGAATCATTGCTTGTGCTGTTTTCAGTATTAGGTATTCCATGCTTGCTCATAGAGCGAGGTTTGGGAGATTGTTGTAGTTTTCCCAAGGCAATTTAAAGCTCTGCTCTTTTTCATATATAGTTACTTATTAAAACCACGTTTCTTTACAGCAACAGTTAAAATGCCTTTGTAAAGCTCTGGTTTTGAGAAGCTTGGCTCTGTGCTGTTATAATAAATCCTGCATTTTGTAACTCATGTTAGGTTTTTCCCACTCTTTGCAGTACAGCATATAGATGCCTGTGTTCAAGCATTATTTCTTCAAAGGTATCTGGAGGGGCTTTAACCTCCTATGTGGTATTCAGTGCTGTCATTCTTGACCACTCCTATACCTCTGAATTGTTCTATATGCAGGAGTGAAACTCTGAAGATAAGGAAACCCGTAACAGTGAGGAGCCCTGGAAGTTCAACTTCGGGTTTTAATGTATATGGGAATCATAAAATTTTATTTCTAAAATCACTTTCCTGGGTACTATCTTAGTACAGCTTTTAAAGTGCACTTGAAAGTCCTGATCCTGCAATTAAACATGACTGACGTTATTCATCTTGACTAATTGTGTGATTAAAGCTTTATTATTTATACATAAAGCTGTTTTTCAAAATAGCAGCTAAAATACCTTATGCCCTAAAACATGCTATGCTCTCAACTGTCTTTATCTGCCGTGTTTTCTTGAAGTCTTGGGTTCCCTCTGCTGGTTTCTTTACACATCTGCTGGTAAAGAAAGTGGAAAACCGCTCTAGTTTTTATGAAAAAATCGATCTCTTAGTTGTGAAAAGGAAATAATTTTCTGCTTGTTTTTTCGTTGTAAAAACTCCTCTCCCAAACATTGAGTGTTTGTAAATCCTTTAATTATTTTTTTCTTAACCCAGTTCAACAATTCAGGGCAATGTTTCAAATGAGGAACTCTTTGAATAACAGTAAATATCTTGTCCTGAAACTTAGTTTATTTGTGTATCTGTATAGATACTAACACAGATACCATGACTCCTTTTACAGTTCTTGCTCCGTCTTATTCAGAAGGAACTTTGGTGTAATGCAGATCATACCCTGTAAGTGTTATGCATGCCTGTTGCTCTTTAATAACAGTTTAAAAACACGTTACTAAGACTTTGCCCCAAAACATGTTACTAAGACTTTGTCCCATAATACCTAGATTTAGACTGAACTTGTTGAGGTTTCTGTATGTCCATTTCTGTATGTTTTAATTTCGTTTCAAAAGAGTGACCTCAGTTTGATGTTTTCAACTAATGAACATTTTATTTTTAGTACATCTTATTTTGAAGAGTAGCTGAAAACACATCTCTGTCATGGGCTCTTGGTTATAGTTTGGTTTTGCCCAAACGTGTAATCTTCCTGGGTTTCATCATGGAGCATGCAGGTGGGGAATAAGGAGCTGCTCAATTGCTTGTTCTGTGTTTAAGAATAGTTTCAAATGTAACTTTCTCCAAAGGTTCTCCTTAAAGGAAGGGGTAGCTCTGAATTTACAGTGTTTTGAATTGAGGAAAACCAAAATCCACTGAATCAATGGGGTTACACTTGCATACACAAAATCTAAATTCAGTCCCTTGGTTGTAATTTTGTAGAAGTAAAATGGTCAGGGAATAGAAAAATGCATGGCAAGGGATGGATCCTGGGTTGGAGACTGCATTTTTAAGTTAGTGACTGTTAGGCCTCACACCTCAACTTTTCCTGCCTGGTTCCTGCCCTTTCCCAGGTTTAAAGAACACTGAGTGATGCAACTAGATTTGGATTAAGGACTCATCGGTGATCAGAGCTATTCCCTGAAAAACAAACTTCATGGAATGCATTATTCTGCATTGAAGAGATTCTGTTTGGTGAAGAACTTTGCACGTTTACTGGAAGCAGTGCGAAAAATGCAGCTGGTAAATCCCTGAAGCTCTTATTTTTGCACATGAATAAGTACCTCAAGATGGCAACTATTCATCAGATGAAGAGACAGGAACTTTAGGAAGGTTTTAGCAGTGCGCCTCAACTGAGCCAAAGAAAAATACCAAGTGCCTTTTTATTTCTTTTCATAGGATGTTTTTAATTAAAATGCCTGTGTTTTCCAAAAGCAAGTCAAACTGAGAGCATAAGGAAGTTGAAATCATCACAGTCCAGCAGTGAAAAGTCCCAATGTCAGTGAGCAAAGTATGTATCCCTTATTGTCATCTCGTGCACATCAAGGGCATCACTTTATAGAGGACAATAACAGCTGGTTATTAAGATGCACTGCTATTAGTATTTTGAAGCTGCTCAGACAATAACCTTACCATATGATTAGTTTTTAGCTACAGTCCTCCTTCTAATCCCAAGGACAACATCCAGCATTTCGGTAGGCAATGAAATGGAATTTACTCTTGAGGTGTTCTGCAGTTAGCAGTTTTCACAGACTCTCTGGATGGGTGTTAGTCCTCAATTAGGGTTGTGCAAAAGAGTCCTAAGCAAGAAAAAGTAGACTATGAGTGGGGGACAGGGGGGCCTCTAATAATTTTCAGGGCATTATAAACTGGTTGTGTGAGCATCACATAATAGTTGTGCTGCTCCACTAGGCTGGGTTGAAATGAGAGGGTGTTCCCTTAGGGTAGCAGAGAGCTGTGAGCTGTCATACTTGAGCTCTACAGGATTGATCAGATGAGCTACTTTAGTGCCTGCTGCCACCGTGATCGCTGTTGGGTACTCCCTGATTTCAGTGTTGGTGTGTGCATGTGAATGTCATTGTCAAATCAGGGCCTTAATAACCAGAAATCTCTTTCAAGTGGCTAATTTCAAGTGGCTCAGAATTTCAGATTTAGAGCCAAAATATCAGAAAAGAAAAATGACCTAGGTGGTAGGTTGTAAGAGAACGTTTCAGTAGTTAGTGTTACCCAGCGAATAGACAGTTTAATGTCTTCAAAATGTATCATTTCTTTGTATAGCTATCTCCTTTGCAAAACGGATGTTCCTGTGATTTATTTTATTTTTTTTTTAAGATGTACAGAGTCAAAAGGAGGGGGTTTTGTATGAGGCATTTATACTCAAATCATGAAGGCTAGATAATTTAAACTGTATTATTCTTAACTGTATTTATTAAAGCTCTGGGCACGTCTTGTTCTGAACTATGCTCTCAGGTTTTGTGAAACAATGTAGTAGTCTTTACACTTGATTAACAAAGCAGCATGTTCTAAAATAGTCCCGCAAAATATCGTGGAGAAATGTCTCATCAGCTACTGGTGTTGTTCCATATGCTGGCACAACATTTAATTTCCAGGGCTGATTAGTAATTGTTCAGTCTTTGATGAGTTACTTCACTGGTTTGATTCAGCCCGTGCTTTATGCTTGACTTCAACAGTATGTGTTCATTTTTAACTGTTTTGTTGAAAACCAGGGAAAACCTCAGTCCCCCAAAGACTTAAGGAAGGCACCAAGTCCTTGCAAAGGAACGCTGTATGCAGGCCCCAACCCTGCAGTTGCCTAAATGAATGGTTAACTTTAGATTTTCAGTAAGCCTGTTGAGACCAGTGGGGATGCTGAACATGTGAATTCATACATCTGTGCTACGTTTGGGCTTCAGGCTGTAGTTGAATATGACAGAATTCTTCAGTAATGTTATTTGGAAGGACTTCCTATTACAGTGGCATGGAACACTGCTCCTCATTTGGCTAGGCTGACCCTGGGGACTTACAGCCAGACTAGGGGACTGATGTTATCCTCTCATGGGGGGAAGAGTAACACTGCAACCCCAAAACAGTTGTATTGGCACACCTTCAGTGGCTGTGTGAAGAAGGAAGAATGGGGGGCTTAAGCTGAAGGTGCAGATCCCTTTCCCCCAAAAAAGGTATGTAGACCTTTATACTAGTTTATCAAAACAGTTTAAAGTCTGCTGCACTCAGATGTTGAGAGGCCCCTATGGGCTGAAGTGTTTGGTTAAAAAGCTTTCAGTTGTATCTAACAGTTAGAGGTTGTAAAGGTATTTAACTGTGTCTTGGGTTTTACTTGTTGGGCTGCTGCTGTTATTTATTTATTTATTTGAATAGCTTTTGCACTGCAGTGACTTGGGTATGGGATGATGACAGTGTTGGAGGTACTGGGCTGAGCTCTTTGTAGGCAGGAGTTAGGGCTCTTAGTGAGTTGATGTCTCCTTCTGTGCTAATGTACAGCATTTCAGTTCCTCCCAGTGATGAATATGTTGGACAAAAGATAAAGATTTGCTTTTCTTTTTTAACAACCCTAGAAGTCCCCTAAAAGTTGTGAATAAACTGTGTGTTTTGTTAGTATTGGGTGTCAATATCTGTTAATCTGGAAATGAACAAGACTTGACAAAATTTTATATGTAGAAATGTGAGTGACCGGTATGTAGAGCGAAATTTAAGTATGACTGTAAGGTTTGGTTTTTTAATGCTGGTTGTTGTGAATTTTATCCATTTACAGTCCTGTGTTGAATAAAACCAGATTCTGCTTTAAAATGGGAAATGTTGATTAGTTCATTTTTCACATCTCCATGAAGAAATGCTTCATATGGAAGGATGGATATCCCTGCAGGGACAGGGCTCCCATCTCTTGTGAGGGTAATGAAAATGGTGCAGTAGGAGAACAAATTGGAACCTTCTGTTTTGAAAACAATGCCCTTGTCAACGTGAATATTTAATCTTTTTTTCATTTTGTGGGACTGTGGGTTGTACACCATTAGTATTTCCGATCAACTGCATCAGATGGGTATACTCACTTATTTTGGTTTCATAGGGAAGTAGGACACTCACCTGAGGCAGGGACTAAGTCCAGCTCCTACAGTGTAGTTTTAAGGTGATTTTTTTGTTGTTGTTGTCTGCTTTGCTTGCTTTTCAATTTATATGGAATTGAAATTGAAAAGCTTCATCACTTCTCTCTAGCTTTCATAATCTTGAACATTTATTGTCTTGATTCTGTTATGTTTGATGGGGTTTGTGTGCCTCTGGCACTGCCTCTAGCAGAGATACAATGTCCAAACAATAGATGTGCCAGGGAAGAACTTCTTGGAAAGGAAAACAATTTCTGGTTACAGAAAGACGTCTGAGGGTTTTGGACAGTATTTCTGATCAAAATGTGCCCAAGGTGCCTCCCAGGAATAGGTAAATAATAGCTGGGACATCTTCTAAAAGAAGGGAGACTTGGACCTGAGTTTCTGTTCTGCCTGATTCGGAGCAGAAGCCTCAAGCAGGGTACTGAGCACCCTGGCTGTTGCTGGACACACTGCAGTGGAGGTTTGTTGTGTGTAGGAATCATAGAATCGTAGAATGGTTAGGGTTGGAAAGGACCTTAAGATCATCTAGGAAGGGTTTATAGGGTGGGAAAAGGATGAATAGGTAGCAGGGAAAGTCTGAGACTTCTTTTGCCTGTAAGTGAAACTGCTAACCTATTCCATGCACTAAGATACACCTACTCCTGTATGTTTTTCCAGTTAGAAAATTCCAGACGGGATTCTTTCATCAGCTTCAGGAGGTTATTACATGTGTTTCTGATTATAACAGCATTAGAATACCAATGGGAATCCTCCACCTTTTTTTGTGCCAGTGTCACAGTGCCTCAGACTCTGGCTGACCTCATCATGTTTATGCTTGGGTACCTGTTCAGTTGCTGCTGGTTTCTCCAGTGACTGATGTGTGAAGATGTTCGTATGAGAAGTGCTGCTCAAAACTGGGTAGGTGTAAGATGGTATAAATAAAAGCAGAGAATGTTTAGAGATGTTGGAAGCTACTGGTCCTGATACGGAAGTAATTTGAGGGAGATTGTTTACAATCCCATCAAATGATGAGGCCCAGAATTTGTAATGGTGTTCTCTGGTCTGAATGAAATTTTATGGCCTACATATTTTTACATAAGAGGTTACATTGTATTATTTCATTATCTGTCCCAACCTGAGTGTTTATCTGATACGATGTTCTGACTGCTGGCCTACGTCACTTTCACCTTGCAGCAAGTCTGTTTTGGTTTTGTTTTGCTCTCTGCTATACCAGCCATGCGATGGTAAGGACTCTGCCTCCTGCCCCCATCTCACAGCCTGCTGTTCCAGTGGAGGGACTGCAGACAGTTCCCCAGGAGGTTTTCATTTGTGCGCTCTGAGGCTTTGGTAACCTTGAACTACATTTTCTGCCATTCTGAGTTAAAGATCTGACTGTCATCCTTAGAGCTGGAGAGGGGGAAGGAGAGGGTTTAACTGCTGGTGTGCTGCAGCCTCATGTCCACTGACTTTAACACCTCATTGTGTGTCTCACTGCCTCAAGAGTTTAATAAACTTTAATTGCTAAAATGTTGGTTGTTCCCCTCTTTGTCTCCCTTCTTTTGGTTAGTTTCCAGTTTGGAATAAGGAGAGAATTAGTTGACATCATCAGCTGGTGCTTGGGGTTTATTTTTACTTTTTCCTCTGGATTTCTCTTTTGAAGTATACCAGTTACCCTTCTGCGGCAGTGAGATTTTTGCATCAGCTCTGTGAACTGTGAATACAAGAGCCAAACTTTCTTTAGGCTTATTTGACCTGCTCGTATCCTACATCAGGAAATCAGCCGTCAGAAATGTGCTGACAGTCTCTTTTGATGCTATACTTACCTAGAGGATTTTAAGGATGTTTTCTTCACCTTGTGATGATACTGGGGGTAGGGTTTTTCCTCCCTCCTCCTCGTATAGAAGCAGATGACGAATACTTAGCCACATTTCCACAAAAGTCCCTTTTATCCAGTTGGTTGGTTCAGGCAGAGGAGGACACTAAGCTGACTTCATGTGTACTGCCATGTAAGTATTAACATTGGAAAGCTATTATAAGGCTGATGAGACAGGTAATGTGTTTTGCTTAGATGGAGTTGCAAAATCATTTCCTTCCTGGTGGTTGATTACAAGCTTCGCTCCCGGCTTTTCCAGCTGTTCGGAAATAGAAGACGAGCTCTTTTCATGAACGTTTTATGCCACAGCTTCACAACTTAAGGGACTGTCTTTCTCGCTGCAAGTTGATATAGGTATTCTGTAGCATATAGTAAAGGGATGTTTACACACCCATAGAATATCCTTGCTCGTGGCTATTAAACAACTATGCAGATGTGAATAAATACAAACTGGTCTGTCTTGTTTTGTTTTGTCTTCCCCCACTCTGAGAGGTATGTCTGCATGTCACTGAGGTTTAAAAGAAAGAAAGTGGCAAAGGGAAGTACCCATTAACTGAAGTCAGCAGAAGGCTGCATTCATCTAAAAATAGCAAAGACCTTTGTGTGTGAAAAATTGGCTATAGATTAAAAAAGGGAAATTCAAAGAGATGGTTCAATTTTGGAAATGAAAAGAAAGTGGAGGACAAAGTGATGACGCATAATCAAAATGCAGGGTGTAACTGGGTTGCTACAGAAATGTGAACGTGGGATGGGATAACGGTAAAGATTGAAAGAAGGTAAAGCACAAAAGACTCAGCTGACTGGAAAACTACAGAAAGAAGTGAAAACCTGGTGTTGTGATTAAAAAGAAAAGGGAGGGGAAGAGCCACCTTGTCCTGAAGGTGCTGTGTGCTGAGCAGTGTTTGCAATGGGAACAGGGGCTGCTTTTCCCATCTGCCCCTGCTGGGCACTGTGCTTGGCCTTGGGAGAGCCTAGGAACCCTAAGGGATGTACCCCATGGGGAGAGGGCTACTGTGGCTGGACATGGAACTGGTCAGCTGCAGGGTCACTTCCTACCTGTTATTTAGGTGCATGTAACCTGTCAGAAACCAGGTACTTTGGCCTGAACAACTTTCCAGTTTTTCAGCTGCCAGCAGGTCCATTTGAGGTTCATTTTTGTGCTCACATCCATAATTTTTACTTTTTTTTTTCTCTCCAGGAACCAGTTGGTTGCTGTGCTTGTAAGAAGTATCTTTGGGGGTTGGGGTGACATCCTGTCTCAGTACTGCAGCAACCCAGGGTTTCTGTAGGTCCCTGTGGAGCTACTGTGGGACTTAAATCCAGTAGCATCCAGTTGGTTGTTTGCTTTTGGGCATCAGTGTCCTCCTTTGCTTGAGTGGTGGCAAGTTGGGTGCAGGGTTGGATGAGCAGCTGCTATAAACCTGAGTGGGGCTGAGATTTTGCATGCTCTTCCCAGGCAAGGTGCTTGTGTGAAGCCCACTTTGAACTACTTCCATCATCTTCAGGTTATTGCAGTTACTTGACTCTGCGCTTGATGCTAGAGGCAGTGCTTCAAAAAGAGACGTCCTAGAACCTGAATTACTCTGATATTTGCAATTATTTACCATTGTACTCATCAGTTCTCCTGCTCTATTCACACTTACAGCGTCTTTTAAAAAACACAACTGAAAAAAGTACATGTGTTTCTCATTTTTCTTCCCCCAGAGGTTACTTTCTTGCATAAACCCAGACCTGAGTGTGTAAGTTTGCTCCCGGTATCACAGGATGTGGATTTTGTGTTAACTAGAAAATTGGCTTTTGTGGCCTGCCATGTGTGACAGAGTCCGTTTTTCCCGTTTGTTTTGCAAGGCAAAACCTTGGCAAGGTGGTATTAGATGAATTGTAGCAGAGCAGGGTGAGATTAAGTTGATTAACCTTTCCCAACTGTGAGTGCTTTTGCAATTGTGCTCACAGGCTGCAGTGAAGGCATAATCCTTTCCAGCCTTTATCCCTAGGAACTGATTTCCCCTTTCACTTGTGTAGCTCAGATGAAAGTTTTTGGAGAGTCCAACAATTGTATTTAATTCCTTGCTGTTTTTTTTTTAGTTTATCTGGTACCTCAGTTTTTCTTGGGTTATTCAGAAACCAGCAGCAGCTTCTTTCATGGAGGCCAGAACTCAAAACAGCAGCTTGAGTTCCTGTATTAAATGAAGAGGGATACAGAAGCGTCTGTATATGCGTATATACACACACACAAGTTTCAGCACAAATTGGGATGAAGTTGAAAGGGTTGGATTTCACTGCCCAGTTGGTGCGGGGAGTCAATAACTTCTGAGTTCTCACCTTCCTCTATTTTTTGATATGAAGGGTAATTGGTATAGGCAGCCTGTCATAGCCTAGGGACTACAATGCAGGCAAAACTTTAGGAAGGAGTGGGTTTCTTATGGCTCTTCTGCCAAACACAGTGATGTTATTTCTGCTGCAGAGGACAGAGTATTGTATCTGAATATAAGTCACCCAATTTCTCCACAGGCCACGTGAGACATCAAGTACAGCAGGTTCTGAATCTATTCTTAAATTGCTCTGATCATCTGGTAGGAAACAGCAGAACATTGCATCTTTCTGTGTCAGAATCCACAGGTTTGGTTTTATACCAATAATGTAATAACAGATTCCATTTATCTTCTCTGTTAGAAGTCTTTATAAAGCTTCCTCCCCTTTTTCCTCTGGCTGCAGCTTTCCAGTTACATAAAAGGAAGAAAACACATTAACAAAGAACAGAAGAAGTCACAGAAATGTATCAAAAGCAAATGTCTTTTCCCAAATAAAAGGAGCTGAAATGGTGTGCAGGGTCATCCATGCTGGGCTGACCATCACCCCACCACGCATGCTTGCATTCAGCTTAGCCCCAGCTCTTCCTTCTGAAAGTATAGAAGTGGCCATGCTAAGGGTTTGGAAGTAAGAAAGTCTGCTGGCTTGCTTGACACTGAGGGGAGTCCACCACCTCAGCTGGTCTGCATGTCTGCTTGCAAAGCAGTGAGATTGCTGAAAGGAGAAACAGAGAGAAACCCTTCTGGTTTCCTTGCTCTCATGTTTAGGATGTTGGTTCTCAATTTAGGCATCACCAGCCCAGAAAGATCAGACCTGACTGACAGATCCAGGGTGCAGGCAGAGAAGCCTGAGAATGTGTGGTTTAGGGCTGGTATCTGTACTAAAGCTATGCTAGACAGACTAACTTCCTATGTGTGTCTGTCAGGAAAATAGTGTGACTCTAAACTTACCCCAGATTTCAGCCAATAATTTTGGGGGGGGGATGAAATCCCTCTCCAGCTAAGCACCTGGGAATGGTGAATGGATGAAGTCCCCTGGACATCTGAAGCAGAACTAACACATCTAGTTCTCAGAACAATTTTCACTGTCATTTGAAATGAGACCTTTTGGTAGAAAGGTTACAGATGATGTAAATCATACAGTAACAGGGAAAACAAAGCCCCTATATTTGCCTGTAATAAAATAATGCATTTGTTGAAGCAGCATCTAAATGTCATTTCTGTGTGTCATCAGGAAGGAAATGTTATTCCTAAACAGAGGCTGGTTCCTATACACAGCTTTTTCAGCCTTTCAAGGCTGAGCAGTCAAAATGGATGATTAGCAGCTCTGGTATGTGCACCTTGTACATCCCTGTGAAAATTAGGAACTGCCTTTTGTATCTTTTTTACTGTCTCTGTTTGTTAATCATAGTTGAAATTATCTGTGTAAGTGGGTCCTGCTGAGAACAAGCAACAACCACCAACCTGGTGATAAACTGTCTTGCTAGTCTCATTTTTTTTTAGGCCAAAAAGTCGATCTAGTAAGCACCTGAGTGCTGTGTGACTTTCCAGCAAGTTCAGTATTCTACGGCATGAGTCTATTTTCAAGCAAGTTTGTCCAAGGAATTACTTTGTGAATTACAGTTTGATTCATCCAGAATCAACTCCTGGATCATTTTGGAGCATGCAGCTTTTGCTGGGCTCTGCCCATACAGGTGTCTGGGCTGTCTGCAGCAGCTCCTTGTGGGGATGCACTGGCTGGCAATGTCTGGGCTGGGAGAACAAGAGCAGGATGCTTCTATAAAGTGACCCACAGTGATGGATTCTGTGCCTTGGGAGGACTTAGCAAAGCTTAAACCTCCTCCCTTTTAAAATATGAAGCAGAGCCGGTTGCTGAAGCTGAAAGACTCTCAAGCAATTGTGTGAAAAGAAGCACAGAGCAGATGTACCCAGAGAGCAGCAGTGGCAGAGCTGGGGAGAAACTTGATTGCAAAGGTAAGAGAAGAGCATGTGGTTCCTCTCAGGTAGTGGCGGGATGTCTTAACCATGTAGGAGGTCTGGATATCCTTGTGGAGGACTCCATGGAAATTCCTACAGATAATATTCAGCCATGCAGGAAAAGCCAGTAATGGCCAGTTCTGCATATTGCAATATGATGTTATAGCACAGTAGCAATACTTAATTCACGATAGTTGCGACACTCAGGGGTCAGTGGGTGTGTTGGGGGGGGATGTTCATAATGCATGCCATACCTTAAAGCTTTATAGAGACTCATACAGCCACATATGTACACGCAGATGCGTGCACATGAACAGGAACTCCTCTGAACAGCAGCTCTTCAGCAACAGGCATGGCTCTTCAAACGG